TCCACAAAGTTGATGTTCTTCGATCTTTGCGTCAATTATATCCGAACCGGTCACCGAACCAGCATGATTACTCTTGTTCATCTCGATCCCTAATTTCTTGATCAATTTTCTCTTACGCGTCTGCGTGTAGGTGTGGAGATAATAATAAAGCTCTTCTGATCATACCCGAGAGTTGATATATATACCGAGAGAGAGAGGGAGAGTAACTAGAGAGAGAAGATTTGAATAAACCCTCTTTTTTTATAGAGAATACACCACTGATTTTGAGGAGACAAGACAAAAGAGGGTTTTTCTTGAAAACCTAACCGACACAAGAACAAGACAAAGTAAGAATTTTATGGGGAAATAACCCTCAAATTATGCTAAAAGGAACAAACTTGGTCGAGCAGAATAAGATCTTAGACAGTACAGAAAATCACGAAAGAGAGAGAAAGATGGCAAAGAGGGGAGAGAATTAATAAACGACGAAGGAGAAGGAGGAGGAGGAGGAGGAGAGGAAGAAGAAAGTGTGAGAGTTTGGGATGTGAAGGGTATAAAATATAAATTAATAAAAACATAGGAGATTTTTTCAGGGAATTAAAAAATCAAGTATATAAGATAGTATATAGATATATGTGTACATATGTGTCTATCTCGAACTTTAACTGAAGAAGTAAGCGAGAAAAAGGAAAAGGTGGCTCTGAAACCCATTCACTGACCCACCTTTTATTTTGCCTTTGCTGGTTTAAGAAGCCGCTATGAGTCTTTCAAGCGGTTTGTTTACATTTATCTCAAAATCATACACTTTTGTATATTCAAAATATGTTATGCGTTGGTTGATGAATGCTTTTATCCAAAGTATATTATATGTTTCTGTACATGTATACGTGTCTATATATATGTGAGTGTACACATGCATATTGCATATTATCTATCCTTAAAACATCGAAATTTATTACATTTTTTTTATGTTACATAGTGGTATGGATTTACATCAAAAGATTTCAAAATGGTATCATCTTTATGGTTAAATGTGAGTTTCATGTTGGAAAAATTGGGATTTTCATTACTATAAACTTTATCAAAGTTGTGTCCTTTTAGATGATGAAACTTCAAGAAAAAAAATAGATATCGATAGTATCATACATAAACGTATTACAGGATATATATGTACATTACTCATGCACATGTATTTTATATCTAAATTTACTACATGGATTTAGTACTGAGAATATCCAATCTTAATTCTTTATGAACAAAATATGTTTTGAAAAAAAATGTTTATAGTTCAATATAGTCCCTTACTTCAATATACGTTTAGTTAACATTTTTGTGTGTGATAAACGTCAGTATAGTCGTCAACAAAACCTCTAATAACTTCTAGTTAAGTAGTTAACTGAATAATTTTGAATTTGTGCAAGTTTAAGAACAGAAGAGAATAAACAAAACAAAAAAAAAAGTAAAAAAGAAAAAAAGAAGAATAGAAAGAAAAAAAAAAGACGAGAAGAGGAAGAGAGGTCACATGGGCATCGAGCTGGAGGAAGTGATCATTATTCTTTTGGTATTCATATTTTGATTATTGTAATTTTAATTTCTGCAGAGAGATAAAGGAATTAAGAGGTTGCTTGATTAGTAAGGCAATTTGAGCAGTATACCCATCATATGGACCACACCATCTCTTATTTTTCTTACTTCTTTTGTATTTTTCGTATTTTGAAGTTAAAAAAAAAAATGTCTCTAGTAATGCAGTACTAGTATAGTATGTATACAAATTTTTTTTTTTAATAATTATGAGCTTGGTTTATTTAACATATTATATGGCGGCCTCCTTGGAGATCCGTAAGTTTACGTTAGCATGAAATATGAAATCATGGGAATTAACCTGTTACATACAGTATATGTTACAAATGAGAACTAGGTTCCTTTTCTCATAAATATGTTAGATGAAGTAGTTTTGAATATACGACGCTTATTAGTTAAAGCCATGTTTGTTCTTAAAAACATATTTATCGTACTATATTTTTTTCTCATTAGTCTTGAGTATCTTGACTGTAATGATTATAAAGTGATGTCGTATAATCAATCTTATGTGTTTCTTCCCCAGTTTTATTTTAGTTTCAAAACATAAATATACGGTCAAAAGTCAAAACTAATGAAGGACAAAGCGAATAAACAAAAATAGAAGGGTAAAAGAAACGTGTATCGTACACTTAAAACTTCGAGAATACGCTTCGTGTTTAGATCTTTAATTAATCGTATGTTCGAAAAAAAAATGAATGTCTTTCACATAAACGGAAACATCATTTTATGAATCAACGAGAAACTTTCGTCACTTTCTTGATCTTTCCGGTCACGCTGTATTTTAAAACTTGATTAGAAGCGGTTTAATTTAGAAAGTTTCAGGTGTAATAAGCTCATACGGCTCTTATGATGTACTGTATGAATTAAGATTGATACAGGCCCCACAAACGATGGGTCCATCTCATCCTTAAGTTGAGATCTTTGGATTGGACTGTAGTTTTAGATCTTGGAACAGTTCAATGGAAATCTCTATATACGACTATTTTATATTATTTTGGTGGGAAATTGTAAGATATATCCATGGATAATAGGAAAATTAGATTAGGTTTTCTGACACCATTTTGTACAGTATTATGCCCAAGAAAATTACTATATACACCCTTTATTTTATTGAAGAAAAAAAAATGTATAGCACTAATTGATTTTGTGTCTTTTTAAGATCTAAACAACATGTTAATTGTATTAATTAACATGATAATTTCAGACTTTTATTATATGATAATTGGCTTAATTTTATATGTTAATTTAGTTAACATGATAATTGAATAATGTTACCATAGTAATTGAATAGTTAGCATAGTAACTGAACATATATTAATGATAATATATCAGTTAACACGTAATTGGAAAGTTTTAATAGTATATTTTAATTAGCATGGTAACTAAATAGTTACCACTAAAATGGAATAAAATCAGGTGAAAGAATAATTTCATATTTTTATAATATGATAATTGGCTTAACTCTGTATGTTAATTTAGTAAACATGATAATTGAATAGAGTTAGCATAGTAATTGGATAGATATTAATGATAATATATCAGTTAGCAAGTAATTGAAAAGTTATCATAATATTATTTTAGTTAGCATGCTAACTAAATAGTTATCACTAAAATCGCATAAAATCTGGTGATGAATAGTGTAACTAGTTTCCTAATGAACATTATACTTTGTGTGATTGATGAACAGTGTCGATGAATAATTATCAATGGCATTTTTCATAATTTATTTTAAAAGTAAAAGGCATTTTTGATTAAAAATAATTTCTCTCTGTATCAATCTAATTTATGGTTATTACACACCACATTCTTAATTTTGATGTTATCCATGTATATTGGTTAAATTTATCCTATTTTGGTTATCAAATCTAAATTAAACTGCCAAACATTCTACAGCCGTTGGACGTTACTATCCAGACGTAAATTCTGATATTCTCAACCTTGTGTGAATAGATAATCACCAAACTAATATTATACTTTTCTAGTTGATACAGTGTGAAAGAAACGAAAAACTATCTGTTTTAACTTTTTCTTCTTCTTCTTTTAATAAGCGGGATCAGAATGAAAAGGGTTAACATATGGTTTTACTTGGACTGATATAACGACACAAAATCTAACTAAGATTGAAAGCATTTCGATTTATCAAGGATTATAACTTTATCGTTAGGAGATTCGAGTTAAGGATTCCCAAAAGACAATCTCAATCCCAAAAAAACTCACCAAACGAGAAAGAGGCAAACATAATCGTGTGTATATATATTGACAGTGACAAAAAAAAACTGTGTACATATAGGTTACACATCATGATTATATTATTTTGTATTTAAAGGAAACAAAATTGGAGAGTCAAAGAATGAAATCATGGAGGGGCCAAAGACGTGTTTTGAATAAAACATATAGATGCTTATGATTGCCTCTTTGTCTGGGTTATTATCATATCTTTTGTCATAATTTCTGTTTTTGATATGATTTTCTAATAAATCTTGTAAAATTATAGAAGTTGAGCTTGGTTTTGTCCCATATCACAAAGTAATAGATTATCTTCAGTTTTGACAGTTTTGGATGCCAAATTAGGTTATATATCTTAGCTATAATTGCAAAAGGTTACAAATGCATAACAGGAATCAAACAGTTTAAACCGATAGCATATAAACCTTCGCATGATGTAAAATAACTTCGAGTAGTTATGTATTCTAACAGTTAAGTCTCTTACCCATGTGATAAGAGAAAAATCGGTCCACGACACAATTTCTTTCGAGTGGACTAGTAGTAAAACTTGGGTTTTCTCAAATGAGTAAGATTTTGTCCGTAACATCATAACATGAGCGAGAGAGACAATAGTAGTATTTCTCTATTGAAAACCAAATCAGACTAACGTTAAGTTGTTATAGACTCATAACAAACGTATCGGACGAGGCAAATCATGGATCTTCGATTGGTCAGAAAACGAATGGGCTTAAGAGTTTTAAGACAGGTGAGAAGTTCTGTGGGCCGGAATTGTCTTGATTTTATTCATGTCAACACTGTTTAAAAATATCAAAATTAAAGGAGCACAATTCTAATTTTTCCATTACTTGCTGATCACATGTGATTATGTATGTAATCATCATATCTTCACCTACTATAATACACTCAACAAAGAATACAACACGACATTAATAATCCACTATTGTATCCTTTATTAATAGATGATTGACGAGAAATAGTCCACACACAAATACTAAAACGAATCTATATAATTGAAAGGGCTTGTGAAATTCTCCAGAACACATCAGCACCCTCAGAGAATGCCACGTCAGCCAAATTTTAAAACCTTACCGTCTGACTCCAAAACGACGTCGTTTTGTCTTGTTTTTTTATTGTAACAACAAAACGACGTCGTTTATGCTTCTTTTTACTAAATTTTTATTCTTCGCCCAAATTCTTCTCCTCCACGGCTCCGCCTAAATCGTCCTTCTCGCCAGATCACGACGGTACACGCTGCCGATCTCCGGCGAGACCGTCCGTATTCCTTCATCTTCCGTTTCAGCTTTCAATGGCCTCTATTAAAACAGCCTGTTACGCCTCCTCGGCTGCCCTTGCCCAGTCCTTTATAATAACCTTGACCAATCTCCTCTCAGTCTTTCGTTCACAATAATTTCCCCATTTCGACGCCGTGCACCGTCACACGCTTCACTTTCAAACAGTTCCGGCGAATCTCCACGGCAATTGACATGGTTTCCGGTAACCCTCGCGCTCCACCACCGCCGTCCTGTGCTTTCAAAGAGTTCCTCTTGGGCCCCACTGCGGAGAGCATCACGGCCGCCTACTGCGTGTATGGGGCCCCGACGATTCACATGAATATGGGATTGTTATGCTCCTGCTTGAGCAGAAGGTAACAAGCTCTAATCTCTCGCATTACCTTTTCGCTCTCTGGTCTGGAGATAGTCCCATCCCGTCGGTAGCTAACCTGGTTCGGTCGTCTTCTTGCTGCCGAGGGAGAGGCTTCGGAGATTGCTGATGATCCTGAGCTCGTCTCATGTCAAAGGTTATATACATCTTTCCTCTGAATCTGTGCGGGTTTCAGTATATTTGATCATGTGTTCCTAATTGTGGAATTATATTGATTTAGTTTGTTGAATCAATCTAGAAAAACCTTTGTATGCATCGGTTCAATTTTTTTTCAGTTGTGTTGCTTCTGGTATATAAGGTTTACTATTAGCGACAATACATTGTTGTGGAAACCTCTATTTTCATGTTCTCTTGTTTGCATGCTTCGATTGCTTATTGTTCACAAAGAGTAACTTTCCTGTTTTAATGGCAGGGTTTCGAACTTGGATTAAGCATTGATTCGAAGATTTTCTAGCTGCAGGTGTGAGACATGCATCAAAAAACAGAATTATCATCCAACGATGACCATGGTGGAACCAACGGTGATCTCGACGACATCTTTAAGAGGTATGATTTCAATAAATCTACATCCGATAATAAACGCTCCGTAGTTGTTGGTGGCAGTACAGTTGGTAATGTCTCTCTTCTCATGCCGATAAATCAGAAACTTTCATTTCGTTTCCACTTTCATTTATAACTTATTATTTGTCCATCGTCTCTGTTGCTGCTATTTTGATGGCAAGTAGTCTGCAATGTCGTTTACTGTTTTTTTTTTCCTTAAAGAGCGACGTTTTATGTTCTTTGTTCTTTGCTCGCTGTATGATCTTGTTAGGTGATGATTTCCATAAATACGTTAGAATGCTGGAGGAAACTATTAACTTCTATGCACCTCACCAATCACTTTTGGTAAAACTTTTTATAAGGAGCTCTGTACCACCAGCCAGCCTGTTGACGAAATTGCCTTCGTCACTGAAAACGGAAAAAGACGATCGACAAGGTTACGTCTGCAAAGGATCTGGATTGTTGACATATGAAACTCTGAACAAAAGATTGTGAGCTCATTAAATCTACCTTCAATCGTACAAGGTGAAAATTCTGATATCAATTTCTCAACTTTACTTCAGTCGTTTTAATTGATAAGCTTTAGTTTCAGTCATGGCTCCTCATTGTAGGTAATTTCCTGGTTTTTATTTTAAAATGCATGGAGGTTTGATACATTGATGGAACAAAAGTTTGAATCTTAGATATGCAGATGGTGAATGAAGGCTTGGCAAGAACTTCATAAAAACACCAAAAAGGTTGAACTTGCAAACGTTAACTTCTTTACTGCAGAAAACGTTTGGGTGAGAGAGATACATCAGGTTAGTTTGTTGTTTCACTAGACCTTTTATTCAGAAACAAGGTAAGAGTGATGCTTTTTAAAGTTTTAACTAAACACTCTTTCTTCTGGCAGACAAAGAATAAGTTCAAGTTGAAGCTGCTACTTTAACTTCATCTTCTCTCTTTTGGTGAAAGTGATTTACAAGGTTAAGCAACCGTTTGCGCAACATTGATTATCCACGAAGAGTGTAGGATAAAGGGACTTGGCACGAAAGCTTAATGGACCTGACTTTGTATTTGGGAATTAAGGGTAAAAGGAAGATTGGAGATGAGATCACAGATATAAAGATTGTATATTTCTGGAATTTTTAAAAATTCATATAAAATGTCGAAGCCTATCTATAAAATTGTTTGGTAGTCAGCCTCACAAACATTCTACTCTTTATTTGTTGAGAGTACACAAATTAGACGTAGACCAAACACCAAATATATTTTTTGAAGTAAAAAAATCATAAAAGTTGGCTGTTGTGAATTGAAGGCTAGATAGCGATAATCTCAAACAACATTCACTATTCGTTGCTACTTTTAAGTAAACATTGTTACAAGTAAACAATCTACACACAAAAACCCGCGCATTGCGCGGGTTCTCTCCTAGTCTTTTGATAATAGTTTGAGAATATTCTCATTTTTAACCATTGCTCTAACTATTGACCATTTTCTCACCTCCACATAGGTTCCAATTTCAAACCAGACATGGTGGTCGTCACTTTTGAGGAGTTTGCCATCAGGAATATTCTAAGCATGTAAGATGGGGTATCCGTCACAGTTTGAAATGTTATGTAAAATCTAATTTTGATTAATAACTTACATTTTCTAAGCATGTGTAATACATACACGGCATGTAACATGTAAAGTCTAACTATGTTGACAACTCCAATAAAACTGAAAACTATTTAAGTAAATATGTTGTAGAAATTGAAAGTAGAAACATGCCAAGAGAAGAAAGGCTAGCATAGTACATGCCGTATCCTCAAAGTTTCTAAAAGAAGAAACCTAACCAAGCCCAAACTCCAATGAAATCCATCTGTTTATTAATTATCACACACAACCCAGATCTTTCTAACAGATTTTAAAATCACCCCTCAATTATCGAAAGGGTCAAATTTTCTTTTCAAGTAAGAAATCTTCTCGTCTTAAATGACCCTTTTTCTGTACCTCTTGAATCTTCTTCTTAAAGGCAAAAACCACAAACATATAGCCACTTGTTCACTATCCTCTTCATCCAAACATTCACCACAAGCTCGTGACGGCCTGATCTGCTCCCTCCACAGTTATTGTTTCCACTTTCCATCAATCTGGGTTTCGTCTTCTTCTTCTTCTGACTCAATCAATTTCTCCAAAGGTGAATGCTTTTTCTTTTTTTTCAATTTCCATTTTTGTTTTGTGTGCAAAAAAACTGAAGTCAAAGACTGTTAAGCCGTTTTTGAGTTCCTATTAAAGAAAAAAAATGGGCAATAACATTTTCCTCTCTGATCTTTCATTGTATGGATTCGTCTAGATTCCGATCATCTTCAGGTCGGATTACGGCGTCTGAAGCCGATCATCATCAATTGGGATTCTCAATCCCTAGAATCAGCAGGAAATACCGATCATTGAGCTTCGATTCGGGTCTTCGCTTCATTTTCTCGCTCTCTGGTGGTAATCAGAGTCTCGAGTCTCCGTCTCCGACAAGGTTGGTGATGGCAACTTCTGCCCTAAACTCCGACCGGAAGATCGTTACCGGTCCCGCCGGTTATGTCCTCGAAGACGTTCCTCATTTCTCTGATTACATCCCAAATCCCCCTGTACGTCACTCTCTCTCTCTGCTTTTTTCAATCTCTTAATCGATATGTAAAATTCTGAAAATGCGAGCGGGAAAAAAAACTGGAACTTTACGAGATTTTGCTTTAAAGTTTCGTTTTTTTTTTAAATATTCATAACGTTTCTTTAGTAGCACAGTTATTTATCCATTGTTTTTGTCATTCGATGCTTCAGACATATCCAAATCCGCTACAAGACAATGCTGCTTACTCTGTTGTTAAGTAAGTGACCGTTTAACTTTCTTTCCAAGTTCGTTCCTTTTTCCCTCGTAACTGAATCAATAGCTTATTCGATTCTTAAAGGCATGAACTTTATCCTGTTAACAAGGTTTTAAATCTGATCAAATTGAATTTCAGGCAGTATTTCGTAGATGATGACGATACAGTTCCTCAAAAAGTAAGTAAAAATCTCTTCTTTGGCCGTTAACGTTCATTTCTTTCTCTCTCTCTCTCTCTCTCTCTCTCTCTCTCTCTCTCTCTCTCTCGTTAATGAAGATGTTGGTTACATGCTCTGTTGCAGATAGTTGTTCATCCTGACTCTCCTAGGGGAACACACTTCCGCCGAGCAGGACCACGTCAAAAGGTTTACTTTGAGTCAGATGATGTTCTCGCTTGCATTGTTACGTGTGGCGGTCTGTGTCCGGGGCTGAATACTGTGATCAGAGAGATAGTTTGTGGATTGTCTCACATGTATGGTGTCAAGAAAATAATTGGCATTGATGTGAGTCCTGTCGGTTTAGCTATTTTTTCAGCATTGTTTTCCAAATTTCTAACTCAATATGCTAATCTTGAGCTTAAGTGCGGTTTCAGGGAGGTTACAGAGGGTTTTACGCGAGAAACACAATCGATCTGGACTTGAAAACAGTGAATGATATTCATAAACGTGGAGGAACCATCCTCGGGACTTCAAGAGGCGGTCACAACACCACCAAGATCGTTGATAGTATTCAAGATCGCGGCATCAACCAGGTTTATATAATCGGTGGAGATGGATCACAGAAAGGAGCAGCTGCTATATTCGAGGAAATCAGGAGACGTGGCCTCAAAGTTGCGGTTGCTGGGATCCCCAAAACAATCGACAATGACATTCCTGTAAGTCTTTTTACCTCAATGGTTTGATCAAGAAAATGTTCAAGAAAATGAGTGTTTGTTGTTTCTTCAATACAGATTATCGATAGATCGTTCGGTTTTGACACAGCTGTAGAAGAGGCTCAACGAGCTATCAACGCAGCTCATGTGGAAGCTACAAGCGTTGAGAATGGTATTGGTCTTGTGAAGTTAATGGGACGATATAGTGGTAAGCTTTGAGGTTGTCACATAAATTTAGTTGAGCCGAAGAGATGTTTTACTGAGTTTTGTAAGGGTTTTGTTGCAGGATTCATTGCAATGTATGCAACTCTAGCAAGCAGAGATGTGGACTGTTGCTTGATCCCGGAATCTCCATTTTTCCTTGAAGGCAAAGGCGGGCTTTTCGAGTTCATTGAGAAACGGCTGAAAGAGAGTGGTCACATGGTGATTGTGATAGCAGAAGGTGCAGGACAAGATCTGTTGGCTGAAAGTGAAGAACAGGCCACTACTCTCAAAGATGCCTCTGGAAACAAACTTCTCCTAGACATTGGCCTTTGGATCTCTCAACGGATCAAGGTTGATAGATTGATTTTCTTGAGGAAAACAGAGGATTTTTCTTGAGAAAATGACTGAAAAAAGATGATTTTTTTTGTTTTGCAGGATCATTTTATCAAGAAGAAGAACATCCTTAACCTTAAATACATAGGTATGTAGTAGATAGAGATCTTAAGAGTTTTTGTAATCTTTTGTCTGTGGAGATGATTGATGAAAGATTTGTTTTTGTTTACTTTCAGATCCAACGTACATGATAAGGGCTATTCCGAGCAACGCATCAGACAATGTATGCTGCACGTTATTAGCTCAAAGCGCGGTTCATGGAGTGATGGCTGGTTACAATGGCTTCACCGTTGGCCTTGTCAATGGCAGACATACTTACATCCCTTTCTATGTGAGTCTTTCAGAGAACCAAAAGTTTCCATTTTTTTATCATATCCTTAACAATATGGTTTGAACATTGTGTAGAGGATCACGGAGAGACAGAACAAGGTGGTGATCACTGACAGAATGTGGGCGAGGCTTTTGTCTTCTACGAACCAGCCGAGTTTCATGAAGCCTGAGGATAAGCTCGACCTTAACCACTCGGAACAAGAAGCAGCGGCCATGAAATGGTGAATACAACTCTTTGTCAGTCTCAAAACATTTGCTTGTGTTTGTTTGGGTGAAGTAAGGTTTCTTTATTTTTTATAGAAGCTTTTGGAAATGTTTATAATTCTTCTTCAACCAAAGAAAAGAGTGTACACTTCTTGGAGAATTGATTCGGTTACAAATTGTGAGAATAATCATGTAATATACTCTTATAATCAATCCACATGGTAATAATAAAATTTCCTCTCATCTCAGTTTTGCCATTTGGTTTAACTTCTGTATAAATATATTATTAACTTTACATGAATAGAGAAAATGAGACTTGAATGTGGAAATTGTTTATTAAGAAAAATTATGAATAATTTGATTAGTAAATCAAACTGCAGCTGGTTTCCCATCTTTACGAGGATCACAAACTGCAGTGAGTAATCCCTTGATTGGTTTCGATTTCTTAATAAAATCTTTCCCAAATTTTCTTCCAGTTTCAAGAATCATCATCTCTTCTTGATCTTCCTTGAAACTCTGAACAATAAGTTGAACAATAGCTCCACCTGATATCTCCTTGAGCTCATGTCCTCTCTCTTCCAAAAACCTCTTGCTCTCTTCCGTAACTCCTATGTGAGCTCCGTTGATCACCGTCAAATTCTCATACCGAACAACATTAGGCTCTAACTGCAACAAGGAAGAGATGGTTTAGTATCACATATCCAAAAATGTTCTTAAAAAATCATTTTTTTGTTACCTTATGATAAACTCTTGCACTCTCTACAGCTTCCAAAGGTTTCATCTTCAACACAAAGCAATTCAGAAACACTTGTATCACCGCCGGAATTATATTCATTCCCCCACTTCCTCCTAGCACCGCCACCAACTCTCCGTCCTGCATTACAAAACAATCATAACCGAAAAAATTCAAACTTTAAACCGTTATCATGAAAGACCATTAGCTTAAAGTCAACAGTGTCTAAAGTCTAAACCTTGGTGATAACGAGAGGTGTCATGGAAGACAAAGGTCTCTTGTTCGGCTCAATGAAATTTGTCGGCGCCGGAGGAAGATTATCCGGAGTGATCTCCGCCGGTACAGAGAAATCATCCATCTCATTGTTCAGCACAATCCCAGTGGAAGGAGATAAAACTCCAGCACCAAAAACGTAATTCACAGTCGAAGTCATCGACACAGTGTTTCGATCACCATCCACAATGCAGAAATGACTCGTCCCTTGGTCTCTCAGCTGGCTCCACCGGCTCAAATAGTACTCCGGCGGGAACGTCGTGTTATCAAAAATCCTCTTCCGAATCTCCTCCGCGCGAGCCTTCGATAACATCTTCTCCATACCGCTCCTCACGTCGACGAACTCAGGGTCTCCAAGATCCATCCTCGCCGCAAACATATGTTTCATCGCCTCAATCAAACGGTGAAGCCCGAGGTCTCTCCCGGAAGCAGAGTACAGCTCCGAGAAGCTGTCCAAGATGTTCATCACCATCGGAAAACCAACCGTTCCGCTCGACGGCGGCGGCATTCCGTGAATCCTATACCCCATCACATCAACAGACATTGCGTCCGTTACTCTCACTTCATAGCTTCTCAAATCCTCCATCGTTATGATCCCTCCGGCCGTTTTCACATCGTTGACGAGCTTTTCACCAACCGTCCCGTTGTAAAACGCTCCCGGTCCTTGCTCGGAGATCGCTTCCAGACTCCGAGCAAGTTCCGGGTTAAAGCAAGTCTCTCCTGGCTTCAAAACGCTACCGTTTCTTGAGAAGACGCTGCGCAAGCCAGGGTCTTTGAGTATCATCGAAGAGTGGCTTGCTATGGCTTTTCCGAGATACGGAGCCACCACGAAACCGTCTCGAGCTAGCTTAATCGCCGGCTCGAAAAGCGGCTTCCATGGAAGACGGCCGTACCGTTTCCAAGCCTCGTGAAGTCCGGCTATCTCTCCGGGAACTCCCATCGACAATGCGCCGACGGATTTCGAATTCGCATCGTTCTTGTACATATCCTGAAGACAATCAAATTCACAAAGATAAACACTTTATACTAACTGAAACATAAATTGAGAAAGATTTGTTTTTTAACCTTTGAAGAAGCTAACGGAGCTGTTTCTCTCATGTCAAAGGCCTCAGCTTTGGAATCTTCCGTCGAGGTAACGATCAAGAACGAACCGCCGCCGATTCCGCTAGACATTGGATTGACAACACCGACGCATAAGGTGATAGCGACGGCGGCGTCGACAGCGTGTCCGCCTCTTCTGAGGACAGAAGCTCCGATCTCGGAGCATCTGCCGTCGTCGGCAGCCACGACGCCGTTCTCTGACTCGATCGCGTCACCGACGACGGTTGTTCCATGGGTGAGACTGTGATTTGCAGCTTCTCTTGACAGCAAAACTGTTATGGTGTCGCTAAAGCAATAGCCTAGAGAGTAGAGAGATGATCAAAGATTTGACATTTTGAGATAAGGTTCAAAAAGTCAACAGCTTTCGCTATGGAAAACAGAGTGTCATCATTGTTATCTAAGTAGGATTGTATCGGATCATTTATAATTTGTTCCTCGATTATTGGAAGAGTAAGAGATGATAGAAACTGACCTGAAATTCCGGCGAGAATTAGAAGCAGGGAAAGAGCAATCTTCAGATATCTTCTCTGTTTGTTCTTCTTATCTCCGGCCGTTTTGTGGTTGAGGCCCAGCAGAGGATCGGCGAGGATATCGAGACCCATCTTCGATCTCTGTCTCTTTCCCTATTGGATCTAAGGAGAGAGTGAATGATTGGAGTCAAAAGAGAGAGTTGGAGTCCAAGTTGTTTATATCTGATGATTGGTAGTCTGAGTTTTCATCTACACACGCAAATCTAAACCAATTCAGTTGGTACTTTCTTATCGTTTTTCCAAAATTGTAAAAAAAAAAAAGAGAAGTAAACAAAAAAAAAACATGCGAGGGATTTCAGTTCTTCAATTTGGGATTTTTTTTTTTTTAACACTAGGAATTGAACCCGCGCGAAATCGCGCGGAAACTCATTTTGTATAATTGGTTTTTTACATTTTTTGCAATTCATATTATATAGCGGAACATAATGAATACTTTATCAATATTATTATAAATTGTTGTAAATAGTTATATGGCATTTTTTAAAACACATATGTACCTATTTTATATCTTTCTAAATATATGGTTTAAAACAATTTAAACCATATGTTTAAATTCATATATGTACATGGTGTAGGAAGGTATAAGTGTTGTAAAGGTATGAATCATACCTTTCTAGATTGTTCTAATTTCTAAATGTTTTAAAACATGCCATATGACTGTTTATAATGTCATCTATTTATTCTTTGATGATTTTCAATTAATTGAAGATCATAGCTTTTGAGTTACAGTTGATAGCAATCGTAGTGTAATTTTTTATTTAAACATTTTCTGACTTAAAGTTCAAACTCTCTTAAAAAAATAATTACAATCCTATAAGTGAAAAGTGATTTTGGAAAATTATAGAATATGACGATTGGTTTAATTTTTTTCTATGGAAAAGAGTTCATATAGCAATAGTAGTGAAAACTACAAGAATCATGCTTATATATCGTAAGATTAATCCCCAATATTCTCTCAGAAATCACATAGATATGTTTGTAAAAATCATACTAACATATCCAAACCTTATAATTATGTGAGTAGAAAAAAAAAACTGATAAGAAAAATCTAATCTCTGAGATGCAATAATAGAACACAAATACACAATGTATGTTTTTTTTCTTTTCAAAGTAGTTAATAAGAATGGATAAAAAAGTCATGACTTTTCATTGATAAGAATGGATGGTTGATTTACAAAAGTCATGACTTTTCATTCTAGGGTTCTTGATGGTTGTGTTGTTTCATTTTGAATTGTAACTTCTCTTCTTTCTTTTTATCAACTATCTTTTATTTATAAATAATCCAAGGTTCTTCTTTGAGAAATTTTATCAACTTTGTTTTCTATTCATTTGTTCCGCGTTTCCTTGAAAGTGTATTACATTGTGACTTTAGATGAAAAAAAATAAAATAATAATCCAAGGTTAAATACGAAGAACAAAACAATCAAATACATACATCTTTGGTTATCACCCGTTTTTTATCTAATGCAAGATCCTTGGTATCAGAATCAAAATTTGTTCGTAAACATACCCCTAGGTATTCAATCAGAAGGGGACAAGGGTTTGTTGGTGAGCCAATCTGAGAAGGCTTGGAGAGTGTTCATGTCTGCTCCATAGTGTTTCTTAGTGAACTCAAGTAACGTAGACCACGTGAAGTCAGGGTATCTCCTTGGTTTGATGCTGTACAAAAGCTCACTTGGTGGCTACACTACTCTGTCTTTCTTCGGACACAAGAAAAATGCAAGTGACTTCCTCTCGCTTTCTCTGTTCACCACCGCACTGTGCAAGCAGCTTTTGTATCTGTTGTTCGATAGGGCCTGCAAACCAAAAAAGGATTAAGTCCGGTTTAGTATATGCCAAGGCTGTGTATATCTAAACCAAGATGTGAGGTTTTAGTTTTACCGCTCGGTAAATGAAAATAATTTATTTAAAACATATAAAAGTTATGTAATAATAGTATGAAATGAACATAAATTTTACATTCTACCAGACTACCGTACATATGTTTTACCATTTTTAACTCACTTGAAAATATTATATTTTTGGAAATATAATCTGTTCTCAATACTATAATATATATATACAGTAATTTGGTGTGCTAACTGCTAAGCATGATACTGAAATACAATCAACCAAAAGTTTAATCATATGTTTGAAAAAAATCAAACAATGTTAACAATTAACAAAACACCAGAGCACAATGGCTTGCATCAAGATGAAGGCTCCGCTCTATTAACATCAAGAGCACAATTATCTTCAAACAAAGCTGCGGACATTGTTATATAAGCTATATGCACAAATCCCAATAGTGACTAAATAATTTGGTTGTTATAGCTATGACAATTTGGTTAGAAAGAGAAGCTTAACAAACCAAATTGTTGTATAATATAAGTTATATAAGCTATAACAATTTGGTTTGTTAGCTTCTCTTTCTTTTCCTTTTTATTGGGGGGAAAAAAACATAGTGACTAACAAGCTATCTGCACAAATCCCACATCATGAAACAACACTCCTTACTTGAGAAAAACAAAACACTTCGTTTCAACACTTAGAATACTGAAAAATAAGTAAACATTATGAATCAGAAGCTAACAAATGGCCTTTAACTTAACCGGGTGAATGAACCATTAAGCTGATAAACAATATCCAAAACCAGATGCATACTTGTTTGCAAACTTGTTCCGCATTACACACACTCAGCAGAATTTAACTCCATAACCGTAATTTTGAATAGACAACAATCTTCAAATTCCAATGCCCGAATCAATGGCAGAACAGACATATATACAAATTTCAATGCGTATTCCAATTAAAAAAGGGTTTCAAATAACTCCACTTTTTAATATCGTTGTTTATACGCGGAAGTCATTCTGGCACGGTAAAGAAATAATTTGAAGACTTTACAACAAATAATCAACCAGAGAAGAGTCAATAGACTCAATACCATACAAATTTATACAGAAATCATAGAGAAAGAGAGAGAGAGATCAAAGTCACATGTTGAGAGCTTGATGAGAATATGAGACTACTTAACGAACCATCGGTACATCCAAACCCACATGAAAATCGAGAATAACACCGGATTTTTTCATAACACTCTACCATGGAGAAGAAATGGCTACCAAAACGAACCGACGCATAATGAAAGAGTGATAAGAGAATCATTACTTGTCTCCCACGCTATTCGATCAACAATTATATTATATATATACATACTGGTTCCCAAAACCTTTCATCACGGCGGCAATCACATAGAGAACACCAGTTTTGAATCGGCATCAAATTAAGGAGGAAGGAAAAAGTAATAACTGCCACAACACTACGTACCCTTCGAGAGAATCATTTATCCATCATGTAATATCAGATGCGATACAAAGCGTTAATGATATGACATTAGAGGAATTGGGTTTAACAAATTCTCAAACGAATTACAAAGAAACTATCCAGATTCTGGAAATACACATGCCACAAAGATGAAAAGGAAAAAGAAAACCTAATACAAAGAGTGTCGACGACGATCAAGGAAAAGTATCAGAGGAAAATGACTTAGTTTTTGTATAATTTATCTACTTATTGTGATGATCAAATATGGGTATTGAATCAGGAAATTTTCTAAACGTAAAGACATCGTAACCGTTCTCTGTTCATAACTATTTCGTGATGGTACGTGACTTTTCATAATCAAATAACCGCTCAATCTCAAGTCGTGACTTACACGTTCTTTTGAGTAAAACATTAGTCCTCTAACAAGTTTAAATTATGATCATCTTCACATAGAAGCAAACAATCACTATATCAAACATAAGAAGCATTCAACATCCATAGGCCTAGGATTTACCCTAAGTTATAAAAAAAAAACATCCAAAATAAATTTTTATCAATGGGAAACGGCAAATCAAAGATTACTACAAAGAACAAAACAGAATGGTGGATGTGATTCACGATTTTGTAGGGGACAAGGGTTCATGTAAACCCTTTTTGAAATCGCGCGGTAACTCATAAGTATGTTATTAAATATTTTTAAATTTTATTTGCAGTATAAAACATATAACTTATCATAATGATTTTACTATTGCTTATAAATTGTTTTTACCAACATTAACAATTGGACATGTCTTCTGGCACCCATTAAAATCGTACATGAAACCTAAGGGAAAATAATTTGACATTTTAATAATGATGTCCTTTTAATAATAATGAGGAAGTGTTATTTTCTCTTCACTTAATTTTAAACTGAAGATTATAAATATACTGAACAATATATATATATATATAAGCAAAAATTTATGAGCAATCAAAAAACATCATTACAATAAGTTGAAACTGTTCATCAAATTAGATTATAAGCAAAAATTTATGACTCGATAAAAAAAAAAAAAAAATGTGACTCGAAAAGACACATCATTTAAATAAGCGGTTATAGATATAACCATTAAAGACAATTATTCAGATTGCATTGATTATGAATGGAGGAAAAAAATTATCTAAATTCTAAATAATAAATAACTGGTTCAAAATGTTTTATTGACTAAATCGTGTTTGTAATTAGGAATTACGGTTTCTAAAAGAAACATTTACCAGATAAAAGAATGCAAATTGGTATCTTTCCTATCTACGGAACAAAAATTAATAATGAAATCCTACCAAGTCGTTTTAATTTAATGTTTCTTCTCAAAAGTTTAAACATCCTCTAACCATTAATCAAATTACAGAATTATAAACTTAAATACTTTATCGATTGAAGTAAAACATAAAAAAAAAACTCATCGATTATGTATGCACATGTGTCAATTATTGATTACGTAAACCAACATCTCAATTCAAACCATAAAACATCCTCCGTTTTGATGATGTCTCCTCGGCGTTCAATATGACCATCCTCCATTTTCTCGCTCTATTGTCTTTGTATTAATATCGCTAATTCTAATCGCTTTTGTTCTGATCACAGACATCGCAATTCATTCACCATTTTGTTTGAGTCTGTGAATCGATGTATTGATTTCCACAGATACATAGATCAAGAATGAGCAGCAATTTTCAATATATTTTTCTCCTTGCTCTTCGTTCTTAAAAAAAATGATGTAAAATATGGTTAAAAGAACCATTAAAAAATTGAAAGAACTATCCAAGGCCTGGGACAACTGAATTCAATTGCACCGGTACAGGATAGCTTCTTCACGAATCAGCAAGCCATGCCTGGGCTGGGTCAAATCGATTTCAGGCCGCCTCCAAATTTCACATACAATTTACAGGATGAGCAATTGAGATCTGGACAAATGCCTGGCAGTTCCTCAAGACAGCTATAGTAGTATAGTAAGTAACGAAGTTTTGTCTCACGAAGCACTTTGCAAAGAAGCTGTTCAACACACGAGAATACTCTAGATCTTCCATGGATGACACGATTGGTTTTGTGTGTATTATTATACGATTGCCTTTGATGTATGAATATGGCTGAAATGTTGTGTATCTGGCTGAATTACTTGTGTTCTGTGTCATTACATAGAAACATCTTTAATAATAATAAAAAAAAAAAAAAAAAAAACCATTAAAAAATTTCAAGACAAAGTTGATCATCGAACAATATGAAATTAGGTGACGTCTATAAGACTATAACAACATCGATATTGATGATTACAATGATGAGATTTAATATATGATACACATAGTTGATCATAGTAGACTGTTAAGTTGTCATAGTCTCAAAACACCAGCAACCATCACTCATGTTCTTACGATTCACAAACTAAAAATTAAAATTAAAATTGTCTTCAAATTCGGTAGATCAAGACGAGCGCATGGAAAATTATAAAAACGGAAGCAGTCTGCCAAACCAGAAAAGACCACAAATGGAGTTAAGTAAATAATTCTAGTAGAATTAATTATGATTATTGACAAAGATCATCTCTACGGATAAAAAATAGTAATATGGGAAACTGAAGAAAACGTATATTATTGAGAGTCGATACATGTGTGAAAATGAGAGGGGAACTTTCATAAGGAATATGTGTTGATGGAATTTACAGAGCCCAACCAGAAACAATGATCGAGAAACTCCCGTTACAACTGAACAAAAGCAAAGATTCCATTAAGTCGTTTGAACAAATATATTTTTCGAGATGCTTAATGTAAATAGAGAAACCTCCGTCTAAATTATTTGTTCGAAAAGGAGAAGAGTAAATTTACTTTTTTCCTTTTAATAAGATTTGTGGATTTTGATGAAGTAATTTCAATTCTGCTTTGTTGCGATGAGGAGGTGAGAGAAACAGAAAATGGTTTGTCATAAATCTTCACTTCTTTTGTTGATCATCTTCATCAGGGCTGCTTCTGTTTCATCCTATTTTCTCGCCATATATAGCACAAACCAGAGAAGAAATAGAACAGAAAAAACAAAAGATTGAACCTAAATGATCAAATAATCTTACAATACATATATATATAAGTGAAAATGTATCCATAAAAGGTGCAACTTTTCAACAATTTAGCGGTTATAAACGAAAAGATGTGACTTAGAAAGACACAACCATTTAGATAAGCGGTTATAGACAAAACGGTTAAAAACGAAAAGGCGTGACAACAAAAGGCATTTATTCAGTTTGCTATTATATTTAGATATGATTAAAAATGGTATTTTAATGAAAAGGCCAAAACATTTTTTACACAGTTTGTGAAAGTTGGGTTTTTTGGTAAAAATAAATAAATTATTCTTAGTTATTTTGGAAAAAAAAAAAGAAAAACTAATCTTCGTCGACTTTGAAGATATAGAAAGTCTAGTTTTGTTACATAACTTGAGACGTTTCATTAAGAACATCATGGTAGAAGTAGTGGTATTTTTGAATTGGTTTTATCTTGATTGTATTTTTAGTAAAGGGTTATCCGTCATCATAAGTGGTAATTCATCAAATATTTATTTATTTTAGGAAGACAGACAGCAAGTTATACTCATCAATTTTGCTGTTGCATTGCTTGTTTGGCTAAAGTTAACAGACGTTTTCACGAAATTTGAATACAGAAAAAAGAAGTTTCTTTAAAAAGAAATTATGCAGAATCATCTGGCTTCAACAGTTTTAATTAGCAGCAGCTGGCTTCCCACCTTTCCGGAGATCACTAACCGCCGTTAAAACTGTCTTAGAATCATCTACTCTGTTTTGGACTACTAATTGAACAATGGCTCCCGCATCTTGACCCTTTAGTTCATGTCCTTTAGTCTTCAAGAAGTTTCGAGTCTCTTCTTCAAGCAAAATTTTATCTCCATTGTACACATTCCAATCCTCATATAACACCTTGTTTGGGTTCAACTGCACAAAATAAAATGATATCTTTGATCAAAAGACTTGTTGAAATTTCTGTTTTTTTTTTTTTTTTTTTTCATTGATGCATTTACCGTGTGGTAGACTCTTGGACTCTTCACAGCCTCAAGAGGAGTTATATTGAAGACAAAGTGATTGAGAAACACTTGGATCACCGCCGGAATTATATATATCCCACCGCTTGCACCAATAACTCCGGCTAGCTCGTTATCCTACAAGGAAAACAAAAATAACAAAATAACAAAACGATTATAAGAAAAATAAATAACAAACAATAGTTAGTAATCCTCTGTTAAGTTTTATGCTTTAGCTCTGTTTAATTGAGAAAGGTTGTTGTGGTCACATAAGAGGATTTAGCTTTTCTTGAGTATGCGTTATTAAACTAACTACCTTTGTGATGATTAAAGGCATCATGGAAGACAATGGCCTCTTGTTTGCTGCGATGTTATTCGCTGGCGCTGCAGAGTCCTCGCTAGGTATAGAGAAATCAGCCATCTGGTTGTTGAGTATTATACCTGTTGATGGCGACATAAACCCTGACCCAAACGCATGATTCACAGTTGTTGTCATCGACACAACGTTTCTATCTTTATCCACCACACAGAAATGGCTCGTCCCTTGGTCCTCAAGCTGACTATATCTGTTTTAACACAACAAAAACCTAATACATATTAGGTCATGAGCTCTGTCAAAAATTTATCAGGTTAAATCACTCACTTACCTGCTGCGGTAATGTTCTGGTGGGTATGTTTTGATGTCAGATATTTCGCTACGAATTTTATCGGCGTGAGACTTAGATACCATCTTGTTCACAACATCAGATATTCCTTCAACAAACGCAGGGTCTCCAAGATCCATCCTAGCTGCAAGCATATACTTAAGGGCTTCTATAACACGATGCAAACGAAGATCCTTGTCAGGAGAATCGTTGTATCCCGCTAATGTGTTCATAACCTGTTAAGATTCCAACATCAAAGAACATGGAAGCTATGAATATTTCACAACGTTTATATATAAAAAAAAAGAGAGTCATCTCCATCCTCATTCCTCACCATTGCAAAACCGGGCGTTCCACTAGATGGAGGCCACATTCCTTGTATTTTATAACCCATAACATCATTAACTACCATAGCATCGGTCACGTTAACTTTATAATTCTTAAAATCATCCAACGTCATGTTCCCTCCAGCCTTATTCAGGTCGCGCACAAGATTCTCCGCCACGTCACCTTCGTAAAACCCCATCATCCCAAACTCGCCCACTTTTTTCAAGGTCTCGGCGAGTTTTGGGTTGTAACATGTATCCCCTTTTTTCAGTAATCCTTCTTCATTAGTGAAAACACTCTTCAAACCGGGATCATTATTGATCTTTTCCTTGTTCTTTAATATGGCGTAGGCGAGATGCGGACCAACCTTGAAACCTTTTTCAGCTAGCTTAATAGACGGCTCGACCAGTAAGTACCAGTCGATACGTTGCTCGCTGTTCTTCCACGCTTGGAAAAGTCCAGCTACTTCTCCTGGAACTGCTACAGACAATGGTCCGTTCTTTTTCTTGTCCTCTCTGCCTTTGTACATATCCTATTACGGGGTTTTACATTTTGTTATAAACAAAAATCACAAAGTTTGGCCTACTACAAAAATTCTTATATCATAAGTCATACTCCCTCCGTTTCAAAATACTTGTCATTCTAGCCTTATTTTTTTTATTCCAAATAGTTGTCGTTTTCACTTTCCAATGCAAAATTTAATATTAAATACCTAATTTAACCTTGATCTAATGAAGAATACTAATAGTCAATTTTGTTTTTTAAAGGTATAATAGAGGTTTTAATATATTTTATTAATTTGCGTGAAATCTCCTAGAACGACAAGTAAAAAGAAATTAGTCGTACTGAAAACATTGCTCGTCGAAATTTGTAATCTATTGGTTTAATTCTTAAGGTAGTTTCAGTGACCGTCTCGAAATTATGCATGTGTATGTTAGAGATTAAAAACTATCAACCTTGTGACATGGAACTTATTAGCAACCTTTTCTTATTTTAGTTAATTAATTAATAATAAAATTATCATAAACTCCATCGCTTTTAAACTGTAAGCTGTTTTGATACTTTCCACTCATATTAAAACAATTACTTTTAAGTTTAACTAGAAATCTATCATAACAATAGTTTTAACTAAGAAAAAAAATCATTGAGGAAAAAAAACAATTTTAAGAAATAAAGTAGCAAGCAATAATACATAGAAAATAGAAAAGGAAAAAACCATGTAAATTTGTTTAGTAATGAGAAGAACCTTGTAAGCAGTCGATGGAGCGGTTTCTCTCATGTCATAAGCCTTAGCTACCGAGCCCGTTGATGAGCCAACCACCATGAAGGCTCCGCCGCCGATTCCGCTCGACGTTGGATTCACGACACCTAAGCAAAACGCGACGGCCACTGCGGCGTCTACGGCGGAGCCGCCAGATCTGCCTAGCACGTCTGCGCCGATACGTGAACATGTCTCATGATCAGCCGCCACAACGCCGTTTTCCGACGTCACAACCGACCCTTTGTCATTGTTTGTGGTTTCAGTTTCTTGGCCGGAAAACTGTCTGCTTAATATAGTGCCTGATAATTCTGCAAGAAGATTATTTCATAGAGAAATCTGAGTAATTCATATTTTTGTACTATATATACGTAGTTCATCTGTACTATAAACTGCATTTATCTAAAATATACTTTTTTTTATAAAGAATTTATCTACAATATACTTCAATGCTTGTGACAAATTCAGACGTTTTAAGGAGTGTATAATCTAGTTAGGGCATGATACAGCATGCAAAAATAAAAGGATGGTTTAAGCTATATAAAGAGAACAAAGCAAAATCAATACCTGAGGTTACGACAAGAAACAGAGACAAGCACATTGTAATTGCAATTGCAATTGCAATCCGATTTCTTCTTGACTTGTTTCTGATGTCGTCAGAATCGCACAGTTTTACTTGATTCTGTTTGGTTGTAACATTTTTTTCGATGTCCAAAAATGGATCTTGCAATGTAACCCGACCCATTTTTGTGTCCCTTTTTTTAACTAGAGAGTCAAGTGTTGATTCAATATTTTTGGATGGAGAGATACAATCGTAGAGATGAGACTTATATAGTTTGATAGGGTCCAAAGAGAGAGAGATGCCCTACTCTACTAATCTTACAATGTGTTAATCAATGTTGCATGAACTGCACGTTCTCTCCTCCATATGACTATCACAATGTATTAATAATGTATATATAAAGATTTTGAATCAGTCACGTGTTTCTCATTACTATGGATCGTGATTCAAAGGTGGAAACAGCTCTATACCTTCAAAAGTTGACTCGATGATGCATCAATTCCCTTGATACCACTACTATGTCAAAAATGTGCTATTATTTTAACATTTACACCCTCAACAAGAAATGACCTATTGAAGTGTTAATCTAAATTTTTCCCCACTCATCTTGGTTATGTTATCCTATTAGGCATCAGCCATCAATTCGGCAGTTGGCTATTAGTTGCACGTTAGCAATGCATTGGGTGCGTATATCGTGATTTAAACTGGTATATTTTGATATTACTGTGTGTATTACGAGTTAGTTAATGCGACATCAAATCCCAAAGAATCAAATGAATCGTATCTCGAGTTAGTTATTGCGAGGGAACATCAAATCCCAAAGAATCAAATGAATCGTTGAGGTCTCATATTCTTGGCACAAAGTGAACTCTCATATTCTTCCTTTTCGCAAGCAGCTTGCCTCGTCGTCCAAGCTGGCCTCTGTTTTTGTTTGGTAAACTAAAATTATTTGATAGAAAACAATTTTTTTAAAAGCTCCGTTGCCGGGAATCGAACCCGGGTCTCCTGGGTGAAAGCCAGATATCCTAACCGCTGGACGACAACGGATTTGCTTAAAGTATCTCAATACTGGGCTTTGGCCTAACTAATATGAACCCGTCAAAATATAATAATATATGGTTCTAAACAAAGAGAGACGATAAACAAACAAAAAACACACAATTCTCAACGGAAATTATGCATAAAATAAATCAAACAAGAGAAGCATCAGAAGCAGCTGGTTTCCCATCTTTCCGGAGATCACTAACCGCCGTCAAAACTGTCTTAGAATCATCTACTCTACTTTGGACAATCAATTGAACAATGCCTCCCACACTTGTAACCTCTAGTTCATGTCCTCTCGTCTTCAAAAACTCTTGAGTCTCTTCTTTAAGCTTAATGTGATCTCCATTGTACACCGTCATATCCTCATACAACACCTTGTTTGGTTTTAACTGCACAAGGTTATAAAAGGATCTCTTTCATAAGAAAATCCGTCAGAAAACTAAGTGTTGTGTCTTTGATGCATTTACCTTAGGGTAGACTCTTGGACTCTGCACAGCTTCTAGAGGACTCATCTTGAAGACAAAGTGATTGAGGAAAACTTGGATCATTGCTGGAAATATATAAGGCCCACCGCTCGCACCAAGTACTCCAACCAGCTCATTGTCCTTCAAGAACGAACAAATAAAAGTAATACACAATAACAGTTAGTTTACCTACAATCCTCTGTCTTGGTTCTGTCTTGCTTGACACACACTTAAAGAGAAGAATAAGGTTTTATGAAATTACCTTGGTGATGATTAGAGGCATCTTGGAAGACAAAGCCCTCTTCTTTGGAGCAATGTAGTTCGCAGGAGCTGGAGGAAGACTATTTGAAGAGACCAGACTTGGTATCGAGAAATCTTCCATCTGACCGTTGAGTATAACACCTGTTGATGGCGACATGAAACCTGACCCAAACGCATAGTTTATAGTTGCTGTCATCGACACTGCGTTTCTATCTTTATCCACCACACAGAAGTGAGTCGTCCCTTGGTCCTCAAGCTGATTATATCTGTACACATACAAACATATTTAGAACAAACAATACACAAAACCTTAAAAAGAATTCTAGGTTAAAACAACCACTAACCTATTGAGGTAATATTCTGGTGGAAACGTTGTGTGATCGGATATTTTGTTATGTATTCTTTCGGCATAAGATTTAGAGAGCAAATTGTCCACAACGTTAGATATTCCATTAGCATACGCAGGATCTGCAAGATCCATTCTAGCCGCAACCATATGTTTCATCACTTCTATAACACGGTGCAGTCCTAGATTCTCATCAGTATCCTTCACTTTCTTATATCTCTCCAACACATTCATCACCTGTTTGTATCCCAAACACCAAAACATGAAAAGTTAATACCATTTTGAAGAATGTTTCTATCCAAAAAAAGAAGTCATCATTCTCACCATACCAAAACCGGTGGTTCCACAAGCCGGAGGCCACATTCCTTGAATTTTATACCCCATAACATCATCAATAACCATAGCATCGGTCACTTTAACTTCATAACTCTTTAAATCTTCCATCGTCATGATCCCACCAGCCTCAAGGACGTCGTTCACAAGCTTCTCCGCCACATCCTCTTCGTAAAACGCCTTCATCCCTCGCTCGGCCACAGCTTCCAAGGTCTCAGCGAGTTTCAAGTTGTAACATATATCTCCTTTCTTCAACAGTTCGTCTCCGTTAGTGAAAACACTCTTCAAACCAGGGTCGTTCTTGATCATATCCTCGTTCTTGGATAATGCGAAGGCGAGATGCGAACCAACCTCGAAACCTTCTCGAGCCAGCTTTATAGACGGCTCGACAAGTAGCTTCCACTGGACACGACCGTGTGTCTGCCATGCTTTGTAAAGTCCGGCGATCTCTCCCGGAACTGCTATTGACAATGGTCCTACTACTCTCTCCTCCTCTCTGTTCTCGAACATATCCTATCATAACGTTTTAAACAAATTAATAAAGATTACAAGTTTTGTTTACTTACAGATTGTTATGTAATGAGAAGAACCTGTGAAGAAGCTAATGGAGCGGTTTGTCTCATGTCATAAGCCGTAGCGACGGAGACGGATGATGAGCTGACAACCATTAAGGATCCGCCGCCGATTCCGCTGGACGATGGATTCATCACACCTAAGCAAAACGCGACGGCCACTGCAGCGTCCACGGCGGTGCCGCCGAGTCGTCCTAGTACATCGGCACCGATCTCCGAACATGTCTTGTGATCGGACGCTACGACGCCGTTTTCCGACGTCACAACCGGCTCTTTCTCGTTGCTTATGGTTTCAGTATCTTGGGCGGAAAGTTTTCTGCTGAATAGAAAACCTGATATTATACAAGAAGGTTTCCGGTTTATTTCCGGTTCAGTCGTTGAAAGAAAAGCCACCATCTCAGATTCTTAGAAGAATGTAAAAACACACACGCATACAAAGACGAAGATCAAAACGTTTGTTGACTCCGACAACAAACTCTCGAGTTATATTCAGAAATTATTTTTCTCCTTAATAAATATGTATTATGGGCTTGATTTATCTAAAATTAATGTATTTGTAACAAAATTGGATAGGAAGTCAACGCCAGTTTAACACTAAACCATACCTAAAGAACTAATTTTGAAAACGAACCGATTTAGTTTCATTTTTCTCATATTCACCGAAACGTACTAAAAAAATAATAAAGCAACTAAAACTTCGGTATGTTGTTTTGTGAAAACTCTTTAAATAAAAATGTGTATGTTTGTAGAAAACAGAATTGAAGATGAAATCATAACCCGAGTGATTTTCGGTTTCTTTATATCATAAGTGGAAGAAGAAAAAATACGAAAAAAAAAAGTTCAAAAAAACAATAAAAATAAGAATACAAAAAGCAAACCAAAACGATACCTGAGAGTCTGAGACTGAGAATCTGAGAAGAAAAAGAAACAAGCACAATGCAAAATGCAATCCGATATCTTCTTGGCTTACTTTTATTGACGTCAGATTCGCGACATATTAATTGTTCCTCTGTCGCTGTAGAAGTTTCTCCGATGTCCAAACGTGAGTCTTGCAATTTACTCGGACCCATCTTCTGCACTCTTTCACTCGAAAGTAAACTCTTCGATCGGTTCTATATCTGGATGGAGACACAATCGGAGAGATGAGGTTTAAAAAGTTTAATAGAGTCCAATGTGAGAGAAGCAATAATGCACTGCTACTAGTCTTTAATTTCTTTATTACTCTAGTGTAGTTATAAATATAGTATTTTTGGATCGCACATGCGTTTCGCATTATAGATTTATATAAATCATCTTAGGTGCACATGGTTATAACTAACTTCATCTTAGTTATATTATCCTATTAGGCATCAGCCAGCCATTCGGCAGTTGGTTATTAGTTGCACGTTAGCTGTGCATTGGGTGCGTATATCGTGAATTATTTTATTTTGATATTACTGTGTGTATTAATGCGACATCAAATCCCAAAGAATCAAATGAATCGTTGAGGTCTCATATTCTTGGCACAAAGTGAACTCTCACATTCTTCTATTTCGCACACAGCCTGCCTCGTCGTCCAAACTGGCCTCTGTCTTTGTTTGGTAAACTAAAAATTATTTGAAAGAAAAAAAAAGTTTTTAAAAAAACTCCGTTGCCGGGAATCGAACCCGGGTCTCCTGGGTGAAAGCCAGATATCCTAACCGCTGGACGACAACGGATTTGCTTAAAGGATCTGAATACTGGCCTTTGGCCTAACTAATATGAACCCGACAAAATATATGGTTCTGAACAAACAAAATACACACCATTCAACGGAAATTATGCATAAAATAAATCAAACAAGAGAAGCATCAGAAGCAGCTGGCTTCCCATCTTTCCGGAGATCACTAACCGCCGTCAAAACTGTCTTAGAATCATCTACTCTACTTTGGACAATTAACTGAACAATGCCTCCCACACTTGTAACCACTAGTTCATGTCCTCTCGTCTTCAAAAACTGTCGAGTCTCTTGTTTAAGCTTAATGTGATCTCCATTGTACACCGTCATATCCTCATACAACACCTTGTTTGGTTTCAACTGCGGAAGAAAAATACATCTTTTTGATCAAAATCCGTCAGAAAAACTATGTGTTATGTCTTTGATGCATTTACCTTAGGGTAGACTCTTGGACTCTGCACAGCTTCTAGTGGACTCATCTTGAAAACAAAGTGATTGAGGAACACTTGGATCATTGCTGGAAATATATAAGGCCCACCGCTCGCACCAAGCACTCCGACCAGCTCATTGTCCTACCAAACACACAACAATAATACACAATAATAGTTAGTAGTTTACTTATGTATTGTTTATGTATTGCTTGACACACACGAAAAGAGAAGAATGAGGTTTTTTTTATGAAATTACCTTGGTGATGATAAGAGGCATCATGGAAGACAAAGCCCTCTTCTTTGGGGCAATGTAGTTCGCAGGAGCTGGAGGGAGACTATTTGAAGATTTCAGACTTGGTATCGAGAAATCTTCCATCTGACCGTTGAGTATAACACCAGTTGATGGCGACATAAACCCTGACCCAAACGCATAATTTATAGTTGTTGTCATCGACACTGCGTTTCTATCTTTATCCACCACACAGAAGTGAGTCGTCCCTTGGTCCTCAAGCTGGTTATATCTGTCACATACAAACATATTAAGACAACAAAAACATAAAAACTTAAAAGAATTCTAAGTTAAAACATTCACTTACCTATTGAGGTAATATTCTGGTGGAAACGTTGTGTGATCCGATATTTTGTTATGTATTCTTTCAGCATAAGACTTAGAGAGCAAATTGTCCACAACGTTAGATATTCCATTAACATACGCAGGATCTGCAAGATCCATTCTAGCTGCAACCATATGTTTCATGACTTCTATAACACGGTGCAGTCCTAGATTCTCATCAGTATCCTTCTCTTTCGTATATCTGTCCAACACATTCATCACCATAGCAAAACCAGTTGTTCCACACGCTGGAGGCCACATTCCTTGAATTTTATACCCCATAACATCATCAATAACCATAGCATCGGTCACTTTAACTTCATAAATCTTTAAATCTTCCATCGTCATGATGCCTCCAGCCTCAAGGACGTCATTCACAAGCTTCTCCGCAACATCCTCTTCGTAAAACGCCTTCATCCCTCGCTCGGCCACAGCTTCCAAGGTCTCAGCGAGTTTCAAGTTGTAACATATATCTCCTTTCTTCGACAGTTCGTCTCCGTTAGTGAAAACACTCTTTAAACCAGGGTCGTTCTTGATCATATCCTCGTTCTTGGATAAAGCGAAGGCGAGATGCGAACCAACCTCGAAACCTTCTCGAGCCAGCTTAATAGACGGCTCGACAAGTAGCTTCCACTGGACACGACCGTGTGTCTCCCATGCTTTGTAAAGTCCGGCGATCTCTCCCGGAACTGCTATTGACAATGGTCCTACTACTCTATCCTCCTCTCTGTTCTCGAACATATCCTATCATAAGGTTTTTAACAAATTAATAACATAACAAAAAATTATTTACAGATTGTTAAAAAAACTGTAATAGGACATGTTCTTGACTGTTTTTATAATTTTCTTTTTTTGGTAATTTTTTTTTAATGGGAAGAAGAACCTGTGAAGCAGCTAATGGAGCTGTCTCTCTCATGTCATAAGCCGTAGCTACGGAGGCGGATGATGAGCTGACAACCATTAAGGATCCGCCGCCGATTCCGCTGGACGATGGATTCATCACACCTAAGCAAAACGCGACGGCCACTGCAGCGTCCACGGCGGTGCCGCCGAGTCGTCCTAGTACATCGGCACCGATCTCCGAACATGTCTCGTGATCGGATGCTACGACGCCGTTTTCCGACGTCACAACCGCCTCTTTCTCGTTGCTTTTGGTTTCAGTTTCTTGGCCGGAAAGTTTTCTGCTGAACTGAAAACCTGATATTACACAAGAAGATTTCCGGTTTAATTCCGGTTCACTCGTTGGAAGAAAAGCCACCATCTCAGATTCTTAGAAGATTGAGAGTGACACAAATAAAAAGATCAAAACGTTAATAATGTTATACGTTTATAGACTTTGACAACAAACTCTTGAGTTATGGGCTTGATTTATCTAAATCTCCATACCTAAATATTGAAAAAAAGTTTGGGCAGTCAACGACAGTTTAAACATTAAACCATAACCTCGTATTCGAATATTCTTTTTTTTTTTTTTGAAAAAGGGCATCGTATTCGAATATTCGCGTGACCGAAACCGAATCGTACTAAAAAAAACTAATAACGCGGCTAAAAGTTCGGTATTTTGTTTGTGAAAATTCTTTAAATAAATATATATTTGTGCTTAAAAACAGAGAACTGAAGATGAGATCAACCCCTCGAGTGATTTTTCGGTTCTATATATCATAAATGGAAGAAAAAATTACGAAAAAAGACAAAAAAAAATAGATAGTCATACAAAACGCAAACAAAAACGATACCTGAGAATTGAGAAGAAAAAGAAACAAGCACAATGCAAATGCAATCCTGTTTTCATCTGGACTTACTTTGATTGACGTCAGATTCGCGCCATATTAATTTTTCCTCTATCGCTGTGAAAGTTTCTCCGATGTCCAAACGTGAGCCTTGCAGTTTACTCGGACCCATCTTGTGCACTCTTTTCACTCGAAATAAACTCACCGATTCTATATCTGGATGGAGACACAGTCGGTGGGATGAGGTTTAAAAAGTGTGATTGAGTCCAAAGTGAGAGAAGAAATAGCAGATGATATAGCCTAAAAACGTTGACGCCATATTATGCATTAATTTTCCACTGCTTTAAGAACATCCCAGCGGCAGTCTCTCACACGATCTCTATACATTCAAAAAATAAAAATAATTGAAAAAGGAGGAAAGAGAGTGTGATACGATGGAGATGCTACGTAGATGATATAGTTAGCATGGGTACTCGTAGCACTGCCACGGCCGTTTATAAATATAATGAAATATAAACCGATTGCCGATGTTTTACGTAATGAAGATCCCAAGACAACAACAAAAAAAACGACTGTAAATCTCAATGCAGGTTTGTAAATCTAATTCTAACCTATCCTCTTGTTTAATTAGAAATAATACTCTGTAGTGCATTTTTCAAGAAAGTTAGCAATTCAAAATAATATAATTATTGTTTTTCATAGTTTATTGGTATACACAAGTGAAGTAACTTTGTATATTTTTGGTCAAAAACAATTTTGTACATTACTCCCTCCATTTTTTTAAGATGAATTTTCTAGAGTTTTTACACATATTAAGAAAAAGTTGATTTTCAATCATTAGTGTATAGAGTTTGGCAATAAAACAACTTTCTATAAATTTAGACCAATAAAAATCTAACAAATCCAATTATTGATTCTTGAAAACTGAAAAAGTACTTACAAAAAGTTAAAAAAATTATCTTCGTGAAACAACAAAAAATGTCCAGAAAATTCATCTTGGAAAAATGGAGGGATTATTATTTATCAACTTGAAAAAGTCACTGTATTTCATTTTTGTTTTATTAATCATGATTTGAAAAGTAACTTGTTTATAACTCGAAATTGTTAACAAACTCATATTGTTAAGCGAAAAATAAAAATTATTTCATTTCTTCAAGTGATTTTTAGTGATACTTGTTTCTTATTTTTGCGCAAATTTGTGATACTTGTTTAAATTTTTCTAGCCACAAAAGAGAAGAGCTATTGTTACATGAATGGACCGGAGACTTAGGATTCTGCTCGATGTTTTAAAGTGGGTTTTAATTGGGCCTAAGCCGCAAATATCCACGAGGTCATGTCCTTTAGTCTTTAGATCCCAATCACGTACCGTACGTTTATTAAAGATGTGAAGACAAACGAAGAATAAAAACTCCCGATTGAGCCAAAATCATCGAAGTTTGTTTCTCTTCGGTAAAAGTAAAACTCACAAAAATTTGGAATCGCGACGATGTTGCCACGTGCCTAGATCTAAGCGGAACCTCAAATTCTCTGATGTGTCGTGTCACCAGTAAAAGGACACGTTGATGGTCAAAGGGCAAAAAGCATTCGGCCACGTCTACACTTTCCGTACATTTATGAAACGTATTATTTCGAACTCGTGTAAATCTTGTTTTGTCGGGACGTGGAAAAGCAAACAGTAGTACTGTTTCACGATCTAAGCGACTGCGAAGAAGGACACGTGCTGCAAGGATAAGACACGTGGTCCTTACCGTAAACGGTGTCACGTGACTTTGAGGCAGATCACGTAATACTTCTGTTGAGTTTTCTTCCCGATTAGGTATTGGAGAATCTGACAGATTTAAAGCATATATTTTTTTATAATCAGATAAAGTAATTTTGATTACTGTAGAAAATATTCCGATTCGATTGTCACATTACGTGTTTTTTTTTTTTTTTTGGTCACATTACGTTATTAATTTTATACACGCAATCAGAAAATTATTTTAATTATGTTGTAGAACAATTATTTGCATTTTTCTTCTAGTGTGATATTTTCCGTGAAATGTTATATTCTAAGCAATTGTCTGATTGTAGTTGATGGATACTATACATTGATGTATAATAATGTCTTTATATATTTTTGTCATAAAAGTATAATTTTATATGATAAAGAAAAAGTTAATTCAAGAAAAATCAGTCGAAATTAGTGGATAAGATCAAGCAAATGGTGATTATAGAAATTAAAACTGAGTAACTGAATTGAAGGGGAATAAAGGGGAGTCACGTAGTAGCCATGATCGTGGGGTCTATGATAAAAATTAATTATATAATAAATGTATGGTGGAATCAAATGAGAAATTACTCAATTTGAATCGTAATGGACGGTCGAGATGGATGGGGCATGCATGCATGCATGATCCCTCAATGCTTCCTTAAGAGGTGGCATTCTTATCATGTGTGATATCGACGCGTGTACGTATACACTCTTTACGTACATCACATGCACAAGCTCCTTTACCAATTATAAAAACATTCCCGGAAGACAAATAATTGGCTTCCCATTTGAGACGCTTTTACATGTTACCATTTTTGTCAGTCGCTTCAATCGTATGACGCACAAATTACCTGTGTTTGTAGCTGATGCAGTAACTCACTATGCCGTAATAAGACGTACGCTATCTACTTTTCTTATTTGTTCAGTGAGAAATGGGGGTAAAATGAGAAAAGAAGACTAAACACTGCGTAATTGCGAAAACGGAACGATATATCGGAAATTTTAAAAAAAACTAGCTAGCTAGTTATAGATTCGACCCTTCCTGATCACAATATCAATATATATCGATAATATTGACCAATATTAAAAGGGGTGATTGAAGTACAACCATGCATGTCCATATGGTTAAATCTTTATTAGTAATTAGTAAATATATATATCGGAATCATGTTGGAATAATATATACTGTGTTGTATGGTCGAGATGCTCGATGATACACGATTTTGTTATTTAATAGTGGAAGACAAATGATGTTCGAGAAACAAAAATAAAGTAAAAGTAGAAATTGACATCTTAAAACTTATGGCTGAGATTACACACTGGAATTTGGGGGTCACATGGTTTCTTTTTCATACCTCTCAAAGAAATATATGTAAATATGTAATATTCATATTTTATTTTATTTTATGTGGAACCTCTAACTGACAGTTTAATTTTTTTTTTATCTATAATACTTTTTACAAAAAAAGTTCCTACACTGTAATTTGATCTTAATTAGAAACATTTCTTTGATAAATTCTTAAAAGGTCCTTAGCATTTTTATTGTTTATACTGTTTTGCATAATTATATTAGTTTTAGAAGTCTATAATTTGGTGCATTAAATGACATAATACCAAACTCGATAATAAATAAAAAATTGTCACCATACCATTCTACATGTGCTGCTCATCGCTGCGGTGGCGTTACCTCCTCAATGCCTCAACCTTTTTTAATCTCAAGTGACAATAATTCAATATTTTACTTTGCTAGACTAATTTAAATATACTGCCCATCTCCTCGAGTCGAATTAAATCATTAATGCGCACCTAGTTTTGTTAGATGTTTGGGTAATCTGCAGTTATTAGTTATTTTATTACAACCTTGTATAGTTGTTGTTGCACCGGTTAAGGACATAAATTTCTTACTTCATTTAATGCACATAAGAAAACCTATAGACCGATAGGATCACCAAATTTGTATTGTTTATGTAATGTAACATTAGGAGCACGTCTTAGGATCTTAGCCATACCGATTTCTTTAAGCGTGAATTTTATGTTTATTATTAATAAAAAAATATATCTTAATAATTTTGTAAACTGTGTGCTACAAGACGAAGGATATTTATTCTATGACAAAAATTTCTATTAAACTATAGTATTAGACAAAAAGTAAGGCTGCCAAATATGTGAATGTCAGATATAAATATCTAAGCGAGTAGAAATCGAAAGACAAATAATCTATATGAGTTTTTGAAGTCCGTCATTTGATTGGATTGCATTTGCAAGTTGAGGGGAAGAATTAATGTTTAAAGAAGCATTAATGAGTGAATATGTATATGAATGGTCCCTATTATGTACTATATGAATCACTCTCAATCAAATTTGTCTTCCATTTTTTACTTTATAAATTAGTACTTGTTTTCAATAATACAATTCAGCCTCATAAGAGAAGCGACACTAAAGATATCGTTGTCCTTACATATACGAAGGTTTAATCGGTTTAGTGAATATGAAAACGAAAGCGTTGTGCGTACACTTCACTATCTTCCAAATAAAGATAAATAATAATTGCTCGTTGAATCGTATGAGCTACACGTTTTTAGATATTTGCAACCTGTCTTCTTCGTTGGATCTATGAAATATTGCTTTATATAAATCTGTTTTATATTAATGAACATCAGAACCCTCTTTTGTATAGTTACCAGAAAGGCAATTTTATATAAATATTTTAAATTGATCAATAAAGAACTCTCGTACAATCAAATTTTATGGAAACATCGAACCAATAAATTATTGAAAAATAAGTAAAACTCTTTAAACTCTATCATTTTAATCATTCAACATTAATTTAAATAACACCGATTTCTGTTTAACTGGAACTATAATTATCACAGTGTTTAGATTGTATTAAGATAAATAATTGTTAGGGTAAATAGAGAGGAGGAAAAAAAGAGGGGAAAAACGAAAAAGAAAGAAGAAATGATAGATGAGAGGTCGATTTGTTTGAGGGATATGGAATTGCTTCCAGTTTTAGCAAAGAAACATAAATGTTTGCCCCTTTGATGTCTGTAAACGTTATTCCAAATCTGTTCCAACATGTCTTCTTCATCCGAACCATTTCTTATCCTTTTCTCTTTTTGTTCAAACCCCTCTATCCAAAATTGGTACTGAAGTCTAGTTTTTTCAAAAATTTGTGTATGATATTTTTAGTTTCTGATACAGCTTAAATATCAACTTCCCTTTTATTCTGTTTTACCTAGCCAAAAATTTTAGTTTAATATTTCTTGTAAAAATGAATTATTCTTTTCGTTTTATAATTGTTTAATAATAATAACAAAAGTGTAAGAAGTGAAAATATATACTACAAATGGCATAGTAGCCAACATTTAATCAGAATGATATAGTTTTTAGGTTCTTGTGGCCAGTTCGAAAATAATCAAGAAAATCACTATAACGTAAATAGGATATTCGAATACAGTTAAAAAAATATGCTTACAGTGTTTTGGATTAGATTAAAACTGTATGAGGATAGATAAATAAATAAATAAATTAAAATCCTAAATAGACTCTGTATTCGGCATGTATTGAGGATAATATGCAACAGATAAATAAGTATAATTAATGAACTAAAGTTGGATTAATCTATTTTGTCGTCTTTCAGCGTATCTAAAACTCGACCGACTTCCGAAGGCAACGAGATTTCCAAATGAATCTAATAAATCCTAAAGTAACACTACGCTCACAGTCCGGTTACATTAAATTCCTCAAAGTCATTTGATAAACGTCCACATCATGAAAACGTCCAGGCAAGTCTATCCGCTGGAGAAGTCTCGAGTCGCTGTTACATTAACGTAACTCACGGTCTTGTTACGTTAGCATTTTTACTAAGCTTTTAACTGTGGTAGAAAGGCAGCTCCTAGTCTTAGGCTTATAGCGTTAACCATGGTTAAAAATACTTAACCAAACCATGGTTAAGCATTTCAACTACATAAAGCTTTGCCGGTGAATAAGCAAACAACAATAAACTCTTTCGCTTCCGAGCAAACAAAATAATCAGAGAAAGAAAGACGACGAATGTGTTGATTGTCGCTGGACATTAGAGAAGATGATGATCGGAGAAACTCGCCGGAATTACCCTACGGTGGAGATTCCTCCATGGCCGGTTTCTGAAGAGCTTACAGCGGCGGATATGTTCTCTCCGGTGATGAACAGTCCAGACTGCAGCATGCTTGAAGCTTTGGCGGCGTTGCAGCGTTACCTGCCGTCTAACGAACCGGATCCTGATTCGGACCCGGATCTGCTGGGTCCGGACTCTCCAATCGACGCTTACTCCTGTGACCATTTCCGCATGTACGATTTCAAGGTGAGGAGGTGTGCTCGTGGCCGGAGCCATGACTGGACGGAGTGTCCTTACGCTCATCCCGGAGAAAAGGCTCGCCGGAGAGATCCGAGGAAGTACCATTACTCCGGCACGGCTTGTCCTGATTTCCGGAAAGGTGGTTGTAAGAAAGGCGACTCGTGCGAGTTTTCTCACGGAGTTTTCGAGTGTTGGCTTCATCCAGCTCGTTACCGGACTCAGCCGTGCAAAGACGGCGGTAACTGTCGCCGGAGAGTCTGTTTCTTCGCTCACTCGCCGGATCAGCTTAGGTATCTCCCGAATCGAAGCCCCGATCGGGTTGATTCCTTCGACGTCTCGTCTCCGATTCGTCATTCATGCGCGAGAGCGTTTCAGCTCTCGGTTTCTCCTGGTTCTGGCTCGCCGCCGATGAGTCCGAGAGCTGACTCGGAGACTCAGTCACTGAGTCGTTCACTCGGGTCTTGCTCTATAAACGATGTCGTCACGTCGTTTAGGAACTTGCAGTTTGAGAAGGTGAAGTCTTTTCCTCCGTCTTACAGCAATCAGTTACGATCCTTCCAAACCGGATTCGGGTCGCCCCGAGGATCCATATTGGGTCCTGGGTTTCAGAGTCTGCCCACAACCCCGACCCGACCAGGGAATCTGGATATTTGGGAGAATGGTTTAGAGGAAGAGTCCGGAATGGAGCGGGTCGTCGAGTCGGGTCGTGAGCTGCGAGCAAAGATGTTCGAGAAACTGAGCAAGGAGAATTGCATGGATCGGGCTGACCCGGATCCGGATCAGAATATGGGTGATGCTCCTGATGTCGGGTGGGTATCTGAGCTGGTGATGTAGGGAGAACAAAATCTCATTGAGGAATCAGTATCGGTTTTTTTGGATTTCTTCCAAGCCAAAGAGGAGGAGATCTAGTGTGTTCATATTATTATTTATTTTTACTAATTTCGTATTCTGCTAATAATATTTAAATATGGATTTTTGTGGAGGATTTTCTGATATAAGACTTTGAAATCTCGTTGTATAGATGCTACGGCTTTTAATTGTGGAACATCAATATATATATTATTATTATTATTTTATGGTGTTGTGTAAGACTATAATGTTAAATGTAATAATAATAGCCCTTGAATGAATGCTAATAATTATCTATTGTTTTTCCCCTAGTTTTTCTTGATCCAATATATAAATGATTTGTTTTCGTAAATCCTGGTTATCATAAGCTGTTAGCATTTAGGCGTCTTAAAAGCTTGAATCGGTCAAATCTTTATGTGTAAATTATAAATAAAGTTAAAACCAATGAAAGACTTGTTCAATGGTGTCAATGTCGTTTCTGAACTATCCAATGCGATTTTGCCATAGCAGAGATAAGAAAATGACATTGACCAATACAAGAGATAATTTGAAATCACATAGAAAAGTCGGAGGTCCGAACCAAACTATAGACAAAACTAAAGAAGCTTTTGAGGGCAAAACTGAGTTTGAAACAGATGTATACGAAGCGGTCATTCTTTCCGGTCATGCCATAAAAGTATAATTATTAAATCTTTGGTGAATAGTTAATGAGTAACGGCGTAATGTTTAGGGAAAACATTAGTTAGATTAGTTTTTTTTGTCAACAATATACTTACGTTATTAATGAAAAACGACATGTGGGTCCAATGTTAGGTATATCACAATTAACATTTTCGAAGAAGCATAACCATATAACTAAATGCAATATGAATACATACAGATATATTGTAATATGGTGAAACGGCCAAAATCTGTAATCAGCGAATTAATAGATTTGTGTAGGGCGATTAGCCAACAAACTCGGGCGTAATGTCAAAAAGAAGAAACCTAATTACAAAAGCATTCGTGTGAGGTGTGACCAAATCACCTCTATTTACTATTTGAATCACTTATTCACGCAACTAACATACCAAATATAAAAAAATTGATCTATATACTTGTTATGCCTAGATAGATTGCTTTAATATCGACAATTACAAATTTACAGTTGAAGCAAGCAAATACATTTCACCACAAAAAAAAAGCATATACAATTGTTTTCTTACAATTACTGTTTTCGTAGGTTACGAATTTTCTGGATAGAGAAAACAAAAACAAATGAATTTGAAAACCAAAAAAATTTAAGCGAAACTCAATCAAATATGAAATTTGATAAAACACCGTAAAAATAAGGGAACACCGAACACAAAATAATTTGTAAGATAAAAAAAAACATAATTGATTAGATCAATCAAACATTTAGATTTACTTTTTGACTACCTTGCCGTTGGTCCAAACGTGTTGTAATCTCCAAATGTAAGCGAAACCGAACCCGACGTGCTATTATATTCCATACTGCTATAGTTGCGAACCGGCGGCTTCGTGATCTGCTTCTCTTTCACTACTTCCTTCTTCTCATGATGGCTCTTTGGCTCACGAGCAAGCTCTGCGGCTAAGCACTGTTTCAGATCAGACACGATCTGGTTCGTTGTTGGTCTGTTGGTTCCTCTGTCTCTGACGCAAGACATCGCAACCTCCACGAATTTCCAGGCTGAGTTTGAGGAGAAGTCTCCGTGAAGCCGTGAGTCCACAACGCCGTCTATGTCTCCGGTTTCGAGGAAAGGCTCGACGTAGTGGACAACGTTCATTTTGTCTCCGTCTTCGGTTTTCATTATGGATCTCTTGCCGGTTATGATTTCTAAGAGAACGATCCCGAAACTGTACACGTCGCTCTTCTCGTTTAGCTTAAACGTGTTGTAGTACCTGCCAAGTGGCGCGCCAAAAATTGTGATTTAAAAACAAAAAATCGTTAACGCTTTGCTTGGTATACATAAACAGAAAATAACCGAACAGATTTAGCGATTGAAAGGGTAATGAGTGAAAAGGAAACGTACTCAGGATCGACGTAGCCGGGAGTGCCCATGACGGCAGTGACAACGTGGCTGAGATCGTCCTCAGGGAAGACCTTAGAAAGACCAAAATCAGCAATCTTGGCTTCCAAGTTATCGTTCAACAGAATGTTTGCTGTTTTGACGTCTCTGTGTACAATTGGTGGCCTACATCCATGGTGCAAATACTCCAACCCTGTCCAAGAAAACGAGTTTCAGGGTCGAGCTAGACTAAACCGGGTTTGATATCTCGGTTTAGCTTTGGAAAATCTAAGAAAGAGATTTTGAGACTGGACCAACCTTGTGCAGAGTCTATGGCTATATGGAGTCTCTTCTCCCAGCTAAGATCCTCTGCATTCTCACTTGAAAGATAATCTTGCAAGTTTCCATTGGCCATGTACTCATAGATGAGAGCCATACTGCGACCATCATCGCAGTATCCAACAAACGAGGCCAAGTTCCTGTGATGGACCGTCAGAAGAAGCTCTGCCTGCAAAAACATTTTTACACTTCAGCAACCACAAAACAACACTGCCTAAAAATCTGATCATGTAATTAGATTACCTCGACTTGGAATTCTTTGGAAACCTGGGATGATGATGACGATGATCCTTTCGATTTCCCAAATGAAGAATCGTTGATCATCTTTACAGCAATCTCAGTCCCATCTTCGAGAGAACCAAGGTACACAATACCAAAGCCTCCTTTACCAATCACTTTATTGAAGTTGTTTGTAATGCTAGAGACTTCACTATAAGTGAACCTTCTCTTCCCTGAAGGCAGAAGCGGTCCTGAATAGGCTCCTGAATACACTATCCAAATTAAACACTCGTTTTCTTTCAGCCAAAAAGCCCAAAAAAAATACTGACATTTTTTTACCAAAGACTAACTTTCTTACCTATTTTTCTTTCCCTTCGCATGATGAATATGATAACCAAGGCGATAATGAGAACGATCACTAATGTGGATACGACTACTGGCACGACGATTTTGTTCCCGTCCCGACACGAACGTGAGTGGCAAATGTTATGTTCATCCACACTGGAAACAGAGAGGAAATCGACAAGCTTCAGAAAATGATTGTCTTTAGAAGATGACTATGGTTCCGGTCAAGAAGATGTACCTGAGTGCAAGTCCACCAGCCATTGTTCTCTTTCTAAGAGATCTTGGAACAAACCCAGTCAAGTTATTTCCTCTCAGATTCCTGCAAAACAAATAAATGTCAGAGAAATAAAATAATTAATGATTTTCTGTCAGTAAAGAGTCGATCAAAGTCTCTATGTGCTTAGCTCAACTCACAGGAACTTCAAATTCTTTAGATCAGCCAAAAACTCCGGCACAACTCCTTTTAGGGTGTTGTTTGATAAATCCCTGGGAAAACAATGCACACCTCCTCTTAGTCTTAGGTAATGTGAATAAAGTGGTGGAAAAATGTTTATGTATGCTTACAATGACTCGATCTGAGAGAGATTTCTAAATGCAAAGGCTATTGGTCCATGCAATCCGCTTGAGCTAAGATTCCTTCACGCGCAAACAAATTTTATCAGCAAATCTTTTGTTGAGAAATATCAAACAATATTTCATTTTGTTTAAAAGGAATGACTTACAGTGACTTGATTTGATGGCTAGAATTGTTGTAGCTGCATCCAACACCTTCCCAAGGGAACAGTCTTGGAGCGCAAGGATCACCACTCCAAACCTTATTCACTTTATAACTTGCTTTTATGCTTTCTATGGCGCCAACTGCAATTAACAAGAGAAAATGAAAAACTGTCAGTTTCAGTATAAATCTAACTAAAAAATTTCTTACTAACAGTAGTAAAGATGATTGATGAACATACCGTCTTCAACTCTGGTTGGAAACTCATCAAGAGATTGCGCTGAAAAGATCTCAATAGCGTTAAGTATCGGTGGAAGTGTTGAATCTGCCGTCTTCTGAACAGAAATCCAGTGATCTTTACCGGTGAAAGCTCGAGAGTTAGACAAAGTCATCGAATACTCTGAAGAAGGGTTGAAAGATCCTGAAACAGGGGAACCATTCCAGAATATCTTGATCGTCCTGCTCTCATTCCTCTTGAGATGACCAAGTTCCGCAAAGTAAAGATAAGCATAGAACCGAGTGTTCGGATCCTCCGACGTCCAGAAGATTTCCAACGGTTCGTCACCGCTTTTAGGCGAAGCAGCAGTCTTAATAACTTCATCAGGAGGCTTATAACCGCTCTGAAAAATATCCAAATAACCAGTTGTCTTTGTCGAGTTCCAAGAAGCTGGAGCGTAAGGAGACCAAATACGATCGTACACATCGTTTTGGTACCGTCCTGTTCCGTTTAAGTAACCTGTGTCCCATCTCTGATGAAGCACCAACGAGACGTTTCTTCCGAATTCGGTGCCGTAGATTGAGCTGTTCATCGGACGGAGCTCCAAGGCTGAGATAAAAGGAGTTCCTTTACCTTTGTTCACAAGGCAAACGTGTACTGTCTCCGACTCCGCGAAGCTGAGGATCTCCTTGATGACGTTCTCAGAGGCGTTTCTGAATGTCACGGAGGTCCAGAAGTTCACGTCTACGTAGAGATCAAACTCAGGGAGAGCTTTTTTACCGTCGTAGTTTCCGTACATGAAAGTAGCTCTGATGAGGTAAAGGTTGCCTTTGCCATCTGAAGGGGTTAAGGTGTAACAGTTTCTTTTGCCTTGTGGGAATGATCTGACGTCGGCAAGCGGGAACGGCAAAACCGGGTTTGCCGGGTAACCGTGTTCTTCGGAGACGTTGACGTTTACTCCGGTGTTAATGAAAGGTGTGTCCCAGGTGTAACTGATGCCAGTATCAGTGTCTACATAGTTTATATTAGGTGGTGACCCACAATCTATGCTGATGAAGCCTGTAACAGGAGAGGAATCATCATAAACTATAAAAATCTAACAAATTTTTCAAATTTTAGAACCTCGACCAAAATGCAACCCCATGATCTAAAGAAACTTATCAACAATCTTTGGTCTAAAGATCGCTCATTTTCAAATAAAAACAGACAGAAAAAAAGAGGAAAACTAAAGAGTCACGAACCTGCTTGGCCTTGGCCATGAACGACAATGGCAGTGGCAATGACGCAAAAAAGGATGAGAAAAACAGAGTGAGCTTCCATGTTCTTCTCCTTTTGGAAAGCGCTTAGTTCATCATCATCGTCAAGAAAAACAGACAACCTGCGATTAAGATAAACACAGAAACACAGAAACACAAAATACAACGAAAGTACAAAGTCCACGCTCTGTTTCCTTTTGAGTATAATATAAGTGCTGCGCACGACTGGAACAAAAAAGCGGCCACGGAATAGTATAAAACTGTAATACAGCTGTGAACAAATAACCAACGAAAAATATAATAACATCAACAAAGTCCTTATAACAAAGAGGCACAGCCCGCACAAGACATAGCCAACATTGGACGCAGCCGACAGATACAACGAAAAATTAGAAATAGTGGTAAAAGAGTTTTTTGACTTGGATAACAGACTGTTGTCAACATAAAGAACCAGAAACTTTAAGGATTCTGATTTAAAGCTATAGTGTCTTTTTAACTGTTATGGTGGAGAGTTACAGAACTAAGCTTCTTCTTGTTCTACTAGCAGCTGCTTTGGAGTCTCCGGATCATGGGATGAGCTCAAAGGGAATGAAGGTAGCTCTAGGTAATCAAAGTCATCTGTGATTCCCGCCTGAAAACAAAAAATTACACATCTGATTAAGTTTCTCTTTCTTTGATGTAAGAAAATGTGAAATCTGGAACTGATCTGGAAGATACCTCTGTGTATAGATGCTCGAGCTGTTCCTTGGCCTGGGGGAAGTTGTTTGAGCACCATTTTCGCAATGTGAAGATGTTATCTGAGTAATCATGAAAAAAAATTACATCTTTAGGGGCATGAAATTATGAATGTTTAAACTGAAAACGTATTTACAAGTTGTAGAAATGAAAAAACCTGTCCATCTGTTAGCCGACTGGTGAGCAACTTTAATTGCATCCCCTGTCACAATTAAAGAGAAATATACACATTGAATCAGCTTGTAAAGCACAAGATGTGTTCTTACTTCAGCTACACAAGGAAATGTAACTGAAAACAAAAGTAACACAGTGTGCAGAACTTAACTCATTGCCTCTAACGTAGCTGGATCATTGTCAGCGAATTGTACCATCTCATTCTGCATAAGAAGAAGAAAATGTTAAGCATGTGAACACCACTATGCAAAAAGATAGCTTATGTAATCTAAACCTTCAGCTCTTTGTGTTTCTTTTCAATCTCTTTAAGTTGCGCCAATGCCTCTGTTCGTTCCTCCTGCAGCGAGAACATAAATTTCAGTGAAAAGGAGCATGTTAAGCTTATTCACGCAATTATTCTGCAATACACAAGATACTTACTGATTCTTCCCTTCCCTTCTTTAGAGCATCACACTGATCACCAAGTTCTGCTAGCTTTTTGTTACTCCCCTGAACATCAGACTCAAGTTTCTGGCGAATACTCCTAAGCTGTTCATCCAGAATAGTTGAAGCATGAATGAAATCAGAATCTATAAATTTCGTTAAGATGTCATATCAAGATGATAACAGTGACTCACTTGATTGCCAGCACAGCTAGGAAGGCTCCAAAAGTAGATCTTCATGACATAATCATAAAACCAGTCAAACAATATATAATTGCAACAAATGAAAAGAAGTTGTGGAAAGGATCCAATATAGGAACACTTAGCTACTCACAGAAATTCCAATCTTGTCCTTGGCGACAAGATCATCATCGACTAAGCTCTGGATCACATCTTTCACCGACTGACTAATCACACCTCTCTTAGGCCCCATCTTCTCGAGTTCCTTCAGCTGAAAAATGTTTACAAAAGTAGAGAGACACTATTACTGCTGATATCTCAAACCTATTGTTACTTCAATAGCAAATCTAGATATCAGACCATTTGACGCAGATGATTTGATAGGTAAAGCCTAATTCCAAAGACGTCCAAAACTAAACACGTAGTGAAAAAGTGCTCACCAGGAAGAAATCTTGAGACTCGTAAAATATCTGAAGCATCTTCTCACGCTTCTCCTCCAACGAAAGCCCCCTTTTCTTCGACTGGAACAATTTCAACAATAGAAATGCAGCGATTCAGTTGCAATGAAGAAATCCAACAAACGACGGGACAATAATGCTCGATTCAGTGACTATAGAGTAGAGAGTGCGAAGATTGACTGCTAAATAAATGCAAATCCGAGAAACCTTATCAAATCGACTCGTGCAAACCAAGTGTTCGCGGAATTTCCTCAGACAAATATTCGATCAACAGCGGAAAAAAGTGTGATATCGATCCAGACTATGACTAGTTTAAATCAAATTTCGGGAAGACGAAGAGATAACACAGTCGGGATTGCAAAACATTTAAGCAAATAGGCCGAATTCGATCATTAGAATTTTCTCGCGAGCTGGAGAAACACAATCTAAGCAGTAATCTCAGTGCACGGTAAGTAATAGTTCACAGAATCGCGAAGAGTCACTTGGATCTTCTCAGAAAAAAATTCACAAATCACAGAGACTAATTCGCGAAACATATTCTGAGCTAGAGCAGAACGATCGTTCCAGAGTAAAAATTACCATCGTGATTTGTTGTTCCTAATGTTGCAATCCGAAGAATCTCAAGCTCTGGACACCTTTCTCTCGCCTCTCTCTCCTCCTTCCTCTCTCCTCTCTCTCACAGAATTCGAAATAGAAATTGTTGAAGAAGCCTCGAAAACTTGGGCGGGCTTTTATCCCCCGCTTTCTAGATTCACTTAATTTAATTTATTTCCCGTTTTTTGTTTTGTTTTCCACTGTAAATTTTTGTGACCAGAGTTTAGTAGATGAAAACTTGAAGACGGCAGGGTGTTTAGTTTTACGATTTCCAAACGGCATGATCTTTAAGAGCTGAGACGTCAACGTATAGTTGACCAAATATGCACGACGGCTATTATGAAGAAGATACGAGTAGCATTAATTAAGTACTAAGTAGTAAGTTAGTAACCCAGTAGATTACCAAAACAAAAGTGTCACGAAAGATACAAAAATTACAGAAGATAAATATGTAAAGAAACACTCAAATGTTGATGACATCCACGACGAGAAATTATTAAAGTTTCGCTCCGATTTAATTTGACTTGATCCTTATATACATCGTCTGTTCTTGTGTATCAATGCATACAGGTCTGCTCCAGGTGAAATAACCTGCTGTTAAACCAAGACAATTGCAAAAGTAATTAATATGAAATCCGTAGTCTCTTAGGAATTTTTTGCATATTTAGTGTACATTTCGTCTAACTAAATCCACAACCTTAACCATCTTAAGCAAAATATCACTTGCTAACTGTAAACACAACTAAGATGAAATCTTATTTGCGTTTTGACGTTGAATCTGCACTCTGTGTAAAATATGAATCTTATACTCTCGTGTAAAAGCAAAAAAAAAAAATTTGTCTGAAACAGTTGATTAATTTGATCTGGTTATAGACAAGAGAAGTAAAGTGACCTTAGAGGGCCATCTCAGCCTGTAATGCAGCGAGCTCGTCATCCTCAGCGGTCCGCTTCTGAGGAGCAGGACGATTGGGTTGGCGCCCGCCGGCGACGGGAACTGAAGGCAATGGAGTAGTCGGCTGAAGAAGTTGCTCTTCAAGCTCTGCACCTTCTAGTTCTTCAAGCTCTGCTTCAAGCTCATCCTAATGAAAGAGAAGTTCTCTTAGACAAAGATTCATTCGCTAAATAATATGATAAAATGTAAGGGTTACAAGAAAGTTACCTCATCGAAATCAGCCCCCGCCCCGATTGGATTCGACAATGCTTCTTGGATCTGTTTCATGTTCTCGGTCTGCTCATTGATCTCGTCCATGGTCTTGTCCACGTCGTCAATATTTCTGCAAAACGTTCAAGCAAAGCTCGTGTTAACAATTCCACGGGAGCGATAACAATCAAATGATTATAAGGGGAGCATGTGATAAACACTTACGTTGCCTTCTGCATTGCTTTCATTGCAGAAGCTCCACTCCTCAAAGCATCTACAGTTTCGGTTGTTGCTTTTGCGCCTTCTAACATAATCATCTGTGAAGAAAGCGATATACGATTCCAATAAGTTCATCTACTAATGCTGGAAATTAACAATCTTAGAAGGAGAATAAAAATTTAAAAAAAGCTCACTTGATCATGTATACGCAGCTGGAAATTCCCAAGCTGTTCGACTTGTTGCTCGTATAACCGCTTCCTTTTCAAACACTGTATAGCCGCTGCACAAGAACAAATACAGCTAATAAGGTAAGATTGTGAAATAAAAAACACATGAGCAATACTAAGTCAGGCAAAATTTGATTTGGTTGTACCGCGTTTGTTCTTTGCGCGAGTGTATTCTTTAGCCTTCTCAACCTCTTGTCCAGCTTTCTTCAGGAGTACTTTCTCCTTTTTCTCTAGCATCTCGAGAGTCTGCAGTGAACAAACGTTACAGTAAGCAACAAGAAATCAAAGGAACATAAACAAAACTTTGATATGGTCAAAGCAAACATTCATAAACTATTCACACTCCAGAAATCCCCAATTCAATGTCAAAGTCGATATTTTTCTCTAAGTGTCGATTTAAGATGAAACGTTCGAGTATCAACTATAAGTCTATACAGCTACAAACAAACGAAAAAACGGATTCAAAGTGATAACGAGAATCTTCATCAACAGGTGGAGCAAACTAGCATATTTTGGTGATGAAATCCCAAATAGTAAACAAACAGTAGAGCGATCAGATAACGATTTTTCAATCCGAAGTAGCGAAATCGAGTAATACCTCGTTTAGCTTGTCTAATGTTTGAAGAGCATTTGTCTCCTGCTTGGGTTTTCCGAATAGCCGATTCATCATGGTTGAATTGAGTCTGTTGCTTAAAATCACCACCGATGAAGAAACCTACTTCGATCTCTTCTAACCCAACCAACACGATTGAAGAATTACAAAAAATTAGCCCCAATTAGGATCCGATCGATTGATATTAGATCAATTGAACTACGAGGGAGATTCAGATTTCGCACGAATCAGACGGAAGATGGAGAAGATCCAAATACCTGGGGAAATCTGGATTCGCGATGTGGAAGATAAATTTAAGAGGGTAACTTCAAAAAAAAAAAGGAAAAATGAAGGAGGGGACTTTTCTGGTTTTGTTCTTCGGCGATTGTGTTCACAGAGAATGATTAAGATCGAAGGAAGCAACTTTCCTTTTCTCCACACGCGTTGAAGTTAACAATCCTGTTAACACGTGTTTATTTCTAAGTGGTTGTCTATAGTCTGTCTCTTGCGCGCGTGGTAGGCAATAATTTTGGTTGGGTCGTTTAACCGAACTTCAAATATCAAACTACGTAAACTAAACCGAACAGAACCGTTTCCTCAACACCAAATCTTATCCAACTTAAAAACTTATATATATCTTACTAAAATTGTTTTATGTGTCTAATATAATAATTACTTAATTTTTTTTAGAACTTTAAACTACTCAAAAAACAAAAAACATTAAGCTGAAAAAAATCAAAATTAATTTCGTTTTAGTTTTAGCACCAAACTACAAAACAATAACAATAGTGAAACGACTAATTATCGCAATAAGAATCACCACTGGGTCCTACGTCTTTCGATATTTCCGACCACGGCTTCTTTGACACCGGAACACGACGGTCTCTGCACCCGAACACCGCCACCGCCGCCGATACTCCATCTCCAACCACTGCCGGCAGCATTAATCTCCGGCCTCTGTCTCGGCGCGCTATGCGACCTCAGTTTCGCCCTGAACAACGTCGTATCCGCCGGTGAGTTAAAATCTCCTGACAAGACACAGAACCGGTGCGCATCTACCTCAGCCTCCGTATCAGCGTCTACTCCGCCGCCGTAGCAGCATACGCTCCTCGACGGAGATCCTCCGGCGAAACGAGGTGTGCTCTGTGCCGTCGGGAATTTGCTGCTACACTCGTCCCATTCGGGTTTGGGTAATGACAGACGCGGTGGGACTCGACCCGAGAGAGGTGAGGAAAGCGTGCGTCGAAACGGGTTGTCCAAAAAATCCGAACCGGATAAAACGGGTCCTCGGATTCTATGAGTTCCGGATCGGGTCCCTGTATCTACCTCCACTATCTTAGCTGTCTCTTCGCCGCTGTTTCGGTTTTCCAAAGATCCGGAGAATCTTTCCTGTAAAAAGTTCCAATATCTTTACAAATTAGTTAAAAAAGTTTTAAACTGTTTATAAACTGGTTCAAAAGTTTTCCTCCTTTTCTACAAATTAGTTAAAAAGTTTTAATCTGCTTACATAAAAGGTTAGTGAATCATTTCTGAAGTTTTAATCTAATCTTAACAATTAAACCCACAAAAAAAAGTTTTAATCTCTAAATTAGTTAAGAAGTTCTAGTAACTAAATTAGTTATGAAGTTCTAATCTCTAAAAAGGCTAAATATTATTAATATTAACACAAAAATAAATAAAAATCAAATGTGTGTTGATTTTACAATTTATGTAACTCTAAAATGGATACTAAACCGACTTTAGAGCTGAGTTTAATTTAATACGCATAAAACTCGGTACGGTCAAACCGGAAGAGTAAAATATTACCGTGGACTTCCTCGCCGGAGCAGCAGCGTTTCCGATACGGCGAAGTGCTCTCTGAAACTTAACAGAGGTCTGAGCTCTAACAAGAGCCTCCATACTCCGAAGCGTCGCCGCCGCTTGCTTCCGTACCAAAAAACCTCTCACTAAAGCTTGTATCTTCACCACACCTCTCAACGCTCTCAACGCTTTTCTTCCCTTTAAACATGTAACGGCTCAATTACTTAATAGTTAAAATATATAAAAATGATTAGAAAAATAAAAACGAATTAAGGAAAATGGAGTAGTACCAAGAAGCCTCTAAAGGCACATTGGATCTGCATAGCGGCACGATGATTCTTACGGAGTTTTCCACCACCTAACGGACCACTCTTCCCTTGACCCTGAAGCTTTACAACCGCAGCCGCAGCTTTAGCCGCCGCAACCGCTGCGTCAGCGGCAGCGGCCGTGGCTGCAGCAACCGCAATTGCATGCGTTCTACGCTCTATCTCCTCCTCTCCAGCCGCGTAGAACGACCTTAGCCACGCAGCTTCTTTCTCGGAAATGTTAGGAGGTATCGTCTCGTAACTGTCGCATAAAGACACTCCTGCGACTGAAGAGCGGTCAATGCGGTTGGAAGTGGCGCCGGAACCGTAACCGGAACAAGAGGAAGGTCTGATTCCGAACAAACCCTTGAACCACCTCGTAGCTCGACCCATTTTTTGTCTCTCTCTTCACTCTGTTGTCAATTTTGGTTGTAGTTTGGTTTCACTTGGAAACACTGTTTTACTTTTTTTTAAACTTACAAATTTGTAAAAAAAAAAAAAAAAAAATGAAAGATAAGACGAAGTATGCGTACGATTGGCCCACTACTGTTTTATACTTTGACGTATAGTGATAAAGGTTATTCGTAATTTTTGTTCCAATGTAGGGTTTTTAAATCAATAAAGAACAAAAACCTACGTTCGTAGTTTGTGTAATTCGTGGAACACTGTAATTTTCAATTATTTTTTAAGTTTTGTATATCTAAAATTTTGAGGAAACTAACTTTACACTGAAAATTTCTGGATTCCTACAGGAAAATGAAGTGAGCAAGAAAATGAAAGTGAAGTAACGAGACTCTCAAGGAAGAGAAGTAGATAGGTCTTTTCCATATTCTGCAAACTTTTATCTGCAGAGGTTGTTTAGATAATCATATGGCCATTCAATTCCCATGCAATTATCTTTTTGATTCCTATAAAAAGAAATTAAAAGAGATGGGAAATTGAATCACCACAGGAGTCAAGAGTTACTCTTTCTAATACCGTATTATACCAATGAAATAGATTGAAATGGAAATTGTATCACTTATATAGGTCATATATGAATGTAATTGTGTATTTTTCTGCTTCGATTTATTTGGCTAATAATTTTGTTTTATACAATCTAAAGTATTGGATGATGCATAATTTTTTTTGATGTGTTGTCTATTGTTTTCTACATCATATAAAGTATTGGATGATGCATAATATGTATGCCTTGGAAATCCAACTTTTGAAAAAAAGTTCTGATAAAAGGGGAAAGTAGCTGTAAAAACAGTGAAAGGAGAACGTAACGCTCTTGCTCGCCTTATAAAACTATAATAATTGAAATCACTATAGTCTATAACGTAAAAATGTTTCGGAGATATAAAAATTAATCTTATTGTATGATAAATATATCTTTAGAATAAAGGAATTAATTACTGCTATACATCAACTAGAATCTAAAATCTAGATTGTTGTTCCATAGTAACCGTCTAACCGACGATAGTGCAAAACTCCAAACTATCTCATAACCATTTCTCCAAAAAAAAAAAAAAAAAAAAAAAAAAAAATCTCACATTTCATCTACAAATATGCTTCAGTGATGTATTTATTTATTCAAAGCATGTATAGTCCAAATCATTGCATATTTATGATCCTCTTTTTTAAGGAATAAGACATTAAGGTAAAATAGAAAAAGAAATTCCGTTTTGGTTATAACAGATCGTGCAGGCAGAGATTCCAACTTATTGGAGCCCTATCACATGTCAATTTAGTTCACAGCCTTTTGTCATTTTCTCTTTACCCGAAACTCTGTAAATTTGTGAAGTTGAAAACAAAAACTTTCTCGAGTGTTGAGACAATTCCTTGTAATTATTATCAGCTTTAATTATCAACTTGTAATTTTTACTGTCAGCCGAAGGTCGAATTTTGATATATCCATAGATATAATTTCATAAATCATAAGAACTTTCCAGCAGTAGAAATCAATGATTTAATAATCAACGTCAATAGTAAATATGTGGAACTTATGCAAAACCAAGTGATAGAAAGCGTTTCGATGTTAATTTTGTTAAGATTCATGTGTGTTTACCTAAAAGTCATTATAAAAAAAAAGTGTTTACCTAAAAGTCAATTTGATAATGACTAGAAAGGTTAATATTTCACATGTCAAACTGAATCCATTTTTCTTTGGATCGGTTATACTTATTTAAATTTACTGAGCTTATTATACGTATAACTATTGGATTGGATGATTGAAATTGTTGTAAAGCAAATATTAAGAACGGGTGAAGAAGGAAAAACCAATGGACATTAAGTGAATCTACACTGCAATGCACTATACGGTAACTAGAAATATACAAAAAATAAAAAAAATAAAATAAAATGCTGTTTCAAAAGTTTAACCAGAGATGGGTTAAAAAAAGTAGATGAAGAAGAGAATCTAGAGTGAGGTCACGCATCTCTTATCTATTTATGGAACTAAAAAGTCTTCGACATTTGAATTTGACGATCTCTTTCCCTTGCGGTCCTTTTTCAACTCGCCGTACACTTGTTCGTCGTCTTTTCTTCTGTATCTAACTTAAGTACTTTGAATTTAATTTTCTTTAAAGTATAATTTGATTTTTTTTTTTTTTTTTTTTTGAACAAGAATACTTTGATTTTGCACGTCAACATTTTAGGCTTTTAGGGATCATCAAAGTGGTTCTTTTGGTGACATACTGGATCGATGGTAACATTTTTTTGCTGTTTTCTGGTCATTATAATGGGCTTCCAATTCATCAAATGAGGCCCATTTTTTGTCGGCTCAATAAGGCACATTTAAACTTGCATGAAATGCTGATTCTTCTTTTTTTCTTCATATTTCTTATAAACACGCGCAGGGCCCATTTACGAACCATAGAACAAGACACGTCTGTTGAAGTTGGAAGAAACACCGATCTTCAATATATAAGGTCAGACTCTGAGTCTTTCTTTATACATCAGAAAAAAAACTAAACCCTAACTAGATAAGAGAGTCTCAGGCCCTGTTTATTAGCTGTCATTAGCAACAAACGATGAACAACGAGTTATAGCGACTAAATCATATTCGTTTTGTAGTCGTAGGTTTCATTGGTTCGACGGTATATTATTTTGAAGATAGGTTGGCAACAATTTTAACGATGTGATAAGACAACAAACATAATAGTGTCTTTGGAGTATAATCACCAAAATGCTCGATAACAAAAACACTATAAAGTAAAAAAAAAAAAAAAAAAAAAAAAAACACTATAATTTTTTCACTTGCAACATCAAAATGAACAAACTCTTAAGTCTTAACGACCGGTATCCACTGCAATTAATCCACAACGTGAGTTTGTGGGACAGAGAAACAAAATTAAAGATCTAGATGCAATCTAACTCTAAACAGTACACATAAACGTACAACATTAGCATATACACATTCATATCGCGCTTGGTAATATAATGGGAGTCAAGTTATATGGTCAAGATCATTCAAAATCAAGACATGTGATTTGAGGAAAGAAAGACAAAAGCTCTGGGCAAAAAGCCCTAAAAAGAGCAATAAAAGGAAACATGTGGAGAAAAGAGTGTCCCACAGGCAAGTCATGTGTTCATAAGTCATATTTATGACATCTTCTTCATATACATTGATATTTTTATCATATATACATGCAACTTGACATATATATAAGTGCATGTATAAAAATATAATATATAATGAATGAGCGTATGAGTTATTTATAATATCGTGGTAGATGCAGATACTATCTTGAGTTAAGTAGATTGTTCTAAGTTTAGATAGAATTGATTGATAGACATTAGGCTTTTACTTTCATATTATGGACCATGTTATCTATAATATATGTATGACATATGCAAGTCAATCTTAATCACTGCTAGTTACGTATACTATTACAATTTTTCCTTTTAGAAACCCCCAAGATATCCATAAAACGTGTGAACATGTTTGAATCTTGATGGAACTAGTCTTTTGTCTAGCACAACGTTTGAATGAAAGTACCATCACCAGTTTGTAACTTAGATCTCTTTAAAATTTGAAGTTATAGATAAAAGTTTTGTGGAGTATATTATCTTAAAATGGGTTTACGTCAACTCTTTATTGTTTATTTGTTATGATTATTAGACAAAGATGGGTATGAGATTGTGAAAGTGTTGGTTATTAGGTAGACAAATAAATTAGGGCATTCACTAAAACATGCTTGTGTAGGCTCCCATGTATGTGCATGTGTTTTGGTCTCTCATGGCATGGTGGTTTGGTTTTATGTTCTTTTGATTCGTTTTATAAACTATTTACTTTTGTAATATGTTTCTTTTTGTTTGGGGTCTTGTTATATCACATGTTTGTCCACTATTGGATATAAATTGGGATGGATTGTTACCATAAATAGAACCCATGTGACATGAAAGTATAGCTCTTGCTTATGATTATGCACATTTAGATACACTTATATACATACATATGTCCCATAGTTTGATGGACTAGATATTTGTAAATAAATCTGTAGATATGTTGAGCTGATCTACTAAACAATAGATAAGCTATATATATAACTTTGACTAATAGATACAGTAATATACATATCCCATTTGTAACAAACGACACACACACACACAGCATTTATATTCCATGTCCAAAACAGCACCAATGGTCTTAGATGGTTTTTCCCAATCAATTAACCAATAGTTTTCATATCATTATTCTACATTATCATTAGTGCACTGAGGTTTTTCAATGATTCTTTTAGAATGTGGACTAGTACGATTGCATTACAAGCACGCGAAATGTCAAACACTAAACATGATTAAAAACGAGCTGACACTAAAACAATGAATTGATTAATTAAGAATGTTAATCTTGTCCTACGTAGTTATATACTTATATCTTCTAGATTTTCTATATAAAAAAAAATTTATAGTACCCTCGAAAGTTAAACTAGTGATGTCGTTTTCAATAGCTTCTTTTCACATTAAACTATATAGTTATTAATTTTAATGTATAGGTAGTTTTGGTAAACGTTATGTTTATTTACAACTCTCTATTAGGACGATGATAACAACATTCGTGGACATCAATCGAAATTCCATAACCATGGTCAAAGTCAAATCTAGATCAATCTGAATGATCGGGAAAAATATATCAGAACCAGACTACATATCAGATTAGTCCATTGCAACATCCTTACTTCTCGGTTAAGAGAATTTATAATTGAAAAAACAAACGTTAATTAAATAGTGAAGAAGTTAAAAGACAGATGTAGTAAATAAAAGGAGCCCCCCTCGTGTGGAATGTGAGCAGTACACTCCAATTATGTAACTTGTGCTCTGTCTTAATTTGTGGGACATCTGCCACTGTTCTGCTTCTTCTTCACTGTCTCGCTCTCTCCTCTTTCAACCACTTTTGTCCTCTCTTTCTCTCCCCCACTCATATGTTATCTATTTTTGGGGCAGTGAAATTAACTTCTCTTTTCTTTTTTTTGGCTCCAACCTTTTTCTTCTTTCTTGATCTATATTTTATTCACCATTTATTACCCTTTCATGTATTAGATTCTTTTTTCATCGAAATAGAATCTTTTTCATTCTAGGTGATTCAAAACAGAACAAGAAAACCTAAGAAAATAGGTCTATAGTTTCTATATATAACAGCTAGCTACCTATATTAAGGTTTGAATAGACGTTCAACGCTTCTTAATGTTATACTTATTTCTTATCCTAATAATGAAGGTTCATACAAATCTCGGAGATGCTTATGTCACGAAACTGTATCTGGAGATGTGGCCAGATAGAGACCACAATGAGAAAGTTTTATTTTTATCATATCAGACTGAGAGTAATATTTGAATATTTTTTGTTTTCTTCTAAGAAAATACCAGCATGAGATCACGTTTTATTAATGTTTAACAAATCATATATAGATTCGTGTTTTAGTTAAAAAAATTTGAAATCATGTTTTTGACGGAAAAGTTTTGGCACCGCATCTTTAGTAGAAAAAGTAATGAAGATCACATTTGTGATAGACAAAATTACGAAATCAGATTTTAGCAAAATAAATATGTAATCGTTTTTTATGAATAAACCGCCTTGTGGAAAATTACATTTTAGTAGACCATTTGTGAAATCATATCTCATTATCTTGTATGAAAAAATGATGGGATGGTATTTTTAACAGAAAAAAACAATTAAATAGTATCGATAGTATTAAATAAACAATTGTTGGAAATGATATTTATAACTTTATGATGGGATGACTATACGTTATATCAATGATGATGATATAAGGATGCCACATGATAATAGTATAATGATGGTGGTATCACGATGATATTATGTTCAGGTTAACAGGTAAATGTTACATTTCAACTCAATCATCTAACTAATAAATTCACTTGACCTGTCAACTCATTAAAATTTATAGGTTACGATATAATATTTCACCCATTTTAACACCTTTGCCTATTATGGTAGATACGATTTGGTAAAATATATGGTGATTAAAGTTTGATTCTCATTTGGTTGGTAACTTGGTATGAAACTATTAATATAATTCGTATAAATTTTTTTCCACTCTGTTGAAATTCTAATGAAAAATTAAAAAGATTCTTCCACTGTTTTGAGTTTGTCCTCTTTTCCCTTTTTTTTTTTTGTAATTACGTTTCAGAGGATAAGTTCAGTACCTCAATAATTGGTACATAAGATTTTAGTAGTACGAAGTTATTCTGATAGGAGGCAGTACCACCAATTTTTTATTTAATATTAATGAAAATCAAATTATATATCAAATTAATGTAACTTCGTTTGTGCATTACCAATGTAAACTATAGTATTCAATAATATATATATATATATATATATTATATATATATATATATATTTATGAACTCTATGATGTACAGTAGTAGGTATTATGGATTGCAGCTGGGCATTTCCATTTTTATCTAACTTATAAATGTAGTAGTACAGTAGTACTAGTTAATTAATTCTTGCGCTGACAAATAATAATGAAGTATAGCACTAAATCATATGAAATCTCTCCTAACACCACTAATCAAGATATTTGTGTATGATTCATTTAGATGAAAAACAGAGAATATGAAGGACAACGATGGCTGTTAATATCACATCAGTCTCATGATAATGAAATTACCATAATTAAATGAAAAATATACTTTAGGGTTATATTAGAAAATGCAAAAATATTAATTAAGAGTATCCGATATTTTAATGTTAATTTTGAAAGAAATATTTTTTTTTATTATTTAAACTGAGAACCATAACCATCGAAATGCAGAATTATACGGATAAAATATTTTAAAATTATGATGGAAAATAAAGAAAATGGTAGGAAGAAAAAGATATGATGAGATGATGCAATGGTCCTTGGGACTTGATATCTCTCACTCACTCTCTCTCATCTCTGAACAAAACAACACTCTAGTATTATAGGGAATCCAAAACATTCATTCAAACCTGTCTGAATCTTTGAGACACAAGTTTTTGTTTCCCACAGGGTTGCCACTTTTTTCCAAATTACCACATTACTCCCTTTCCTATTTTATCACCTCCCTTAACCCACTTTTTCTATTTATCAAGAATTTTATTTTAATTATCTATTTTCATCGATAAACTCTTCTCTCTATATCATCTTATTTTCAAAATAAAAACATTTTGAATTAATTCTCTGTCGCTACAGCTATATGGTCCCAACATCTTTTGTCTCAGATTGGAGTAATTAAATTCGTTTGTTGTAAGGAAAAATTGCGAATTTTACTCTTTTTTTACTCACAGATTGAAATTAATTATGCAAGTATTTGGCATATAAAAAAACAATAATCAGAGGAACTCCATATAAACGGCCAATCATAAAGGCTTAAAAAAATTAGGAGAGAAACAAAAAATTGTTAAGTACAAGAAAAGAAAATGTTAAATTTCTCAAGAAAGACAAAATTTTCTCCTTCTAGTAAAAGAGATGGGAAAATATTTATACTTATATTATATATATATATATATATTTTGAATTAATAAAGCACCGTGATGCGAATCAACGGCTGTGCCTCATCGCTCTCACCGTCGTCGTCCCCTATAGTATTCGCCACCGTCTTAATAAGATCGCTCTCTTCACTCTCGGCGCAAGTTAGCGTCTGCGCCTTTTTAGCCTCCGATTCCCAATCCGTGGTCCCCACAACGTACATCATAAGACCGGCGCAGCTAATCTGCGCTGCAAGGAGTCCTAACCAAAGCCCATTAAACCCAATTCCGGCCCAAAACCCGAGACCTACAGCCACCGGCATGCCCACTAGATAGAACGCGCCGAGGTTCACGTTCGCCGCCGTGGACGGCCGTGCTGTTCCTCTCACGACGCCGCAGCCCACCGTCTGAGGACAGTTACCGATCTCGCATAAACCCAATATCGGAAGAGCCGCCGCGGTCAGCTTGAGAATCTCGTCGTCTCCGGTGTATATCCTCCCCCAAGCATTTCTAACGGAGTAAGCAAACGCCGCCGCTGTAATCCCCGTAGCCGCCGCGAAAAATACAGCCAACGTCGCGGATAGCTTCGCCGTCTTCGGACGGTTCGCTCCCAGCTCGTTTCCGACGCGAGTTGAGACGGCGTAGCTCAGAGAAGACGGGAAGACGTAGAGAAACGATGTCGTCTGGATCAAAACGCCCATAGCCGCAACCGTCGATCTCGGATTAACGAGCAATCCACAGAGAACGATCATGATCTCGTACCACCACCACTCGAGACACACCGAGACGCAGCTCGGGCCCGCGAGACGGAGCAGTGGACCCCATCCCCGGAAACAATCTCGGGTCGGGTCTACCCAAGTGGGCGCGTGGAGACCACTCGCCCAGACGTAGCAGACGAGGAAAAGGACGACGAAGAGGTTGGTGATGGAGGAAGCGACTGCGACGCCGGTCAAACCGAGACGGAGGTAGGAGACGAGGAAGAGATTAGCCGGTAGGTGAAAAACGGCGCCGGAGAGGGAGGCTACAGTGACGGGGTGGATGATGCCTTGGGCACGAAGGTAGATTCTGATTGGGTGAAGGAGAGTGTTGGTGAGGAGATCGGGGAGGGAGAAAATGAGGTAAGTCTGAGCTAACTCGGCGATGTCAGGGTCCTGGTAAAGGTAAACCGAGATTTTGCCGACGTTAAGCCAGAGAACCGAGATCGGTACGCAGCAAACCAAGAGAAAAACCACGGTTCGATGGAGGGTAAGTGAGAGGAGTTTGAAGCGGTGAGCACCAAAGGCTTGAGAACAGAGTGGCTCCATACCAAGTGCTAAACCGGATAAAACAGAGTAACCGGTTATGTTGGCAAATGCAATGGCGAGTGAACCGGCGGCTAATTCGAGGTCGCCGAGACGGCCGAGGAAATACATGGAGACGGCGGAGCGTAAGTAGAGGACTAGAGCCGTCACGGCGATCGGAAAAGCGAGCGTGAAGAGAGATTTCGCCTCTGTTACAGCTTCTTCCATAAGAGGAGATCCTCTGTTCTCGCAATGCCGGAGATTTCTGTTCATGGGCTCGAAGCTTTTGATCGAGAGGAGATCGAGGAAGATTCCGGTTCGAGATTGTTGGTTCTCGGGCACGGCTGAACCGGTGGCGGTGGTGGTTGTTGTGGATGGGTTACACATGACGGTGATGATGATGATGATGAGGAAAGATTTGATCTTTTTGGAGATTTTATGGGGAAAGAGAAAGAGTTCTCTCGTGAAGAGCTCTCTGCTGGAGTTTGAATTAAGATTGAAGGAAAGAGATTGAATTTTGGTGCTTCTCTCCTCTGAGAGCTCTCTTTGTATCTTAATAAAGGAGTTGGCAGTCTCTTTTTTTTTTTTTTTTTTTTTTTTTTTTTTAGTTTAGTTTCATAAAAAAGAATCTAAAACTACTTTTCGTGTGTTTAATATTCACATTTCGGAAATTTGTGGGAGTATCGATTTTTTTTTCCTTTTATTGACAAATGTATCGACTTTGCGTTGGATACATGGAGGGGTTTGTGACATTGAAAGGAAACTATTTAATAAAGTAATTACCATATGTAATTGCCGGTGCACCTTATAATTAAGATGCCGTATGCGATCCGTATTAGCAATCTATAAGAATATACGTATCAAATCCGAAATGTTGGAAAACTATTAGTTCAAGAAAAATGTGCATTTGAATCAATGTTATAACAAAACATGAATATCTAATAATAGAAAATGTGCTATTACAACAACAACAACAACAACAAAATGAAAAATGGATGATATTCGACATAAGAGTTTTTTTGTATGGTTAATTAGACATAACATTGTGAATGAGACAAAATCTCATTAAAAAAAAATCCTAGTAGTTTTTGCTGATACCCTATTATAATCTGAATTCCAATCCATGAGTATACATGTGTGAATTGTTGATTATAAAAAATAAAATAATTACGTAATATTAATCTAATGTTAGTTTTAGAATATATAATAAAATCGTGTACTAAAACTCCATGGTATGTACTGTACATGTATGCTGATCCAGACTAGTTATTTTTACCGATTTTTAAGATATTCAATGCTCTGAAAACATCAAAAAGTTTGGACAGCAAAGGAAACAATTAGGTATAAAAAAGGTAAAATGATCATAAGTATCACCGATGGTTGTATTACTGTACATCGTTTATGTAAAGGCAATTTATCGTAACGTCTAACTAATTTAAGGTAAGTAGATTCTATCAAAATATATCGTCCAAGTTCATTACACGTGAAATATCGAATCTTGTTCAAGTGACCATGTGGTACGAAAAACTGTTACATTTATATTTACTGGATACTCTTCTATCTTTAAATTTCTTTTCATTTAATGAGTTATTATAAAGAAACATATGTAGCATCGTATAAAATAAAATATGTGAAGATCATTTTTGTGTGAAGAGTATCAAAACAGTAGTACATATTTAAAACACAATACATCTACATTTATCGAAAATATAATACAAACCAAAACCAAATGAATCGCATGAACGAAACCAGACTCAGCGTCTCCTGACTCTCCTACACCTCCAGACTCCAGTGTCGTTACTTACTAAACCAAATCAGTGATTTAGTACTTTTATTTTTTAAGGTTAAAGTCTTAAACACCCAGTACTGATATAAATGTTTAGTTTGACTTTCTTTAACCAAAGCTTGAAAGCATTGGTTTACAATTAATGTAAACGTTATTTCATGTTTGTCTCCATCCGGTGAACAAATTAGGATTAAACAGCAACTTAAATCCCGGATTTATATACTTCGTAATTGTTTGTAAAGTACTAAAGAAACATTTGTATCCAGTTCATAATGTTGTTAAATCTCCAGCTATTAATGGCTTTTCTTTGACTAATTAACTTTCCAACGAATATATTAAATGAAAATATAATTCTTTATAGATGAATTTATAAATATATCTATAGATTTTGTAGTAATGTTGACGATTGCAAACTGATATTCTTTTATAAATGCAGTTGGGAGTTGCTATTACTTGGTTAGTTTATGAAAGAGTAAATAGTAAATTTAGTTATGAAACTAGGTTGTACTTGTACAAGTAAAGTGGTATTTGTCATGTCAGTTTCTATGCACATATAAAACCGTGTGGTCTGGATAAATAAGTCTTTCAGATCAATATGGCAAGGATTTAAAAAAAAAAAAATAGAAACTACTTCATCTTCTTGGGATTCAAGTTATCATTTCCAGATTCGTATATAAAATACTCATTATTTGAGCTTTTTGGTATATGAAAATAACAATAAGTGATGCAATACTCGATGTGCATCAGTCTATAGCATGAAGCCATGAATGGTGGTGGTTATCGGATCAATAATTTTAGTTAATTAATTATGTAAAATGAAAAAAATAGAACGTTAGGCAATTTTATAAATTTATAATAGAATCTAAACATAAAAGATTCAAACAGTATAAGCTTATCGTTATCAAATAAAAATATATACTTTCAATAAATAAATGAATTTTGATAATAATATAATAATATATACGTTAATATTCTATCGTTATCAAATAAATATATACTTTTCTTCCCAAACTGCATATACTTGCTAAATCTGTATATACGGTACCTAGTGGCTTTGTAATTTATACAATCATTGAATCATATGTGGGTTACAAAAGCGTTCCGTCGATAAGATTTGAAGCAAAGAGATAAAATGTAAGGCTCTTGTGGCGTTCACAACATAGAGGGGGGCCTCGACCTACTAAGCCTATGATTCTTCTATATATTTCACTCTCACTTTCATTTTGGAACGTTCCAATAATTTTTTTTTTAAAATAACTCATTGCTACATATAGTTTCCATAATAATTCAAATAATTTTTATCCTAAATGTGTCGTAAATTCGAATGTTCAAATATCCAAATATATGATCACACATCGGCGCCTAAACTTGTCAATGCAATAGTACTATAATGGATGTACGTTCTAGGATTAAATTCTGTTGAATATCCATATTTTTGTGAACAATCTAAAGTTAAATGAAAAGTTTGGTTTCATCGATGGGCCTATACGTAATCCATCATGATTGGTCGTGCATTTTCGTATATACTTTTTGGTTGGGGGCTATTTATTCGATAGAAGATAACATTCCACCAATCTCTTGAATAGAGAATTAATGTTGAAAGTGTGACTTATGGTACAAACTATATATTGTTTCCCCAGTTTTCATATTCAATATGATGTAGACAATCATCAAAATCAATTAATATTGCAGCAGCAGCAGCAGCAGCAACAACAACACCAGCACTAATAATCATAAGTAAAATTCAACTTGACCATGAGCACTTGTTAAAACTGATTTTACAAAAATACATTTGAATTCACCATGCGTTCATGAAGTTTCGAAAAGAAAAAGAATATAAAATTTGATATCCTATATATATATCTAGTAGGTACAAAGTGTGTTTTTCCAAAATTTGCTATTGATTCCTTTTTTTGGTTAAATACATGTTTTTCATAGGAGTCATAAGATAGGCTGAGTATTACAAAATCAAACTTAGTTTTGATTGTTTAACTAAGTAATTGTGCGTTATAAATCGCTGAACTAGTTTTAGTAGATAATTCATATAATTTATAAACTGGATGCTTACCTCCCCCCGTGTCTACTAAAGTATTTGATGATTGTCTGTGTTCTTCCATCAACTAAAATACATTAAATACTTGTGTGTAATAGACGCAGTCCAGTTACATATATGTCAAATTAAATTTCCTTGAAAAGTATTCATAAACTTTTAATCGCGCATGATGTGAACAATCAACAAAGTAATTTCGTATTTATCACATACAAAGTTTTGTCGTAGAATTGACCCGGTGAATATATTCATTTGTATTTTATGCATTTAAAAACATAAAATAGGTATACATATATAGATATGTATATAGAAGGTAGATATAATCAATGAATAGTGGGGATAGGGATATATTATCTTCAAACTATTTTGCATGGATATGAAAACGGTGACGTAGCGAGAGGATGGTCACAGAACAAACGCCAAAATAGACTTCCGATCGAGAAAGGGTTAATTCACAGCTGGAATCTGGAAATTCTTCATTTTCTTCTCTCTTAAAAATAAAATATATATACCAACAAACTAAATGAAAACGAAATACAGAAATTGACACATAAATATATAAAAAATTACTTATTTGAAGGGAGGTCCCAAATAAGAGCAGTGGCTGAGAAAATACAGAAGTGAAACTATTTTGGCTTCCCTTTCAAGAACAGAAGGCTAAAAGGGGACATGTGCCCTCTCTCTCATGCAAAATTCTTTTTACATTTATCCTTTCAATTTTTTTTTCCTGGATTTTCTTTCCAAATGATTTGTATATGCATTTTCTTTTATATGAGTCATGAGATAAGATAGGCTGGCTCCTTAGACTATAGTGCTTCAATCTATGGACCGACTCCTCACAATTCAAACATTCATATCTTCAACAGCAGTGTTCTCGGATTTCCATATACTGTGTAGTATTAATTATTTTAATTTGTCATTTTTTTATTATTGTTCTAATTTATCTGCTCACATAATATACTTTTTTTTCTTCTTAAAGTTCCAAACCTTTTTGGGTCTATGGTCTACGTCGGCTGGAACCAATATGTGTCAAATACATTGTCATTTTGTTTAAGCAAGGTTTGAACTATGATACAAAGCGCAATAAGAGCAAAAATCACTCGACTGCCTACTATTACTTTCACAAATTACTATTTACTTTAACGTGTATACACCAAAAATAAATAACAGTGATTTGGTAAAGAAAACATATCTATAAAAAAAATCAACATATTCAGGTGGACGTGTTACTTAATTTCTATTTTTTTACTATAATCACCACCATGCGGATTCGAACCAGGTAGTATATATGCGTTATTGATGTATTTTTTTAAGAAATCAGTAAATACTTAAACACATTAGTTAATACAGTAATGTTTACATAAATATGGATGTAATACTAGAATCATTAGCATGTACAACCGGCCAAATTCATTTATTGAAGAAAAATGTCCGTTTCCATTTCTTGTCAGAAACTCCTGAAACAATACAGAGAAACATCTCGAAGTATTATTTTTTTTATACGATTGACACAGTTGCTTTTAATCACACACACCTTATTCACAGAAGAAA